TGGCGCTGCCGGCCGCGACCAGAGTGACTTCGTGGGGCAGACTGTGGAGCTGGGCGAGCTGCGCCTGCGGGTGCGGCGAGTCCTGGCAGAGGGTGAGGCCCGCGCCGGGCGAGAGCGTCTGCAGGCCGCAAGGAGGAGGGTTGGCCTAGGTCACCAGTGTCAGGAGGGGTCAGGTCAGAGCTGGGAGGGTCATCAGTGTCAGCATGGATCAGATCACTGTCAGCGGGAGTTAGATCCGGGCTAGTGAGGTTCATCATTGTCAGTGTGGGCCAGATCAGGGCCGAGAGTCATCACTGTGAGTGGGGGTCAAATCAGGGCCGGTGAGGGTCACTGCTGTCAGCAGGAGTCAGGTCACTGTCAGCAGAGATTAAATCAGGGCTAGTGAGGGTCATCATTGTCAGTGTGGGGCAGGTCAGAGCCAGGGAGGGTCACCACTGTCAGGGGTCAGGTCAGGGATGGGAAGAGTTACCACTGCGTGGACCTTGGGTCAGGGCTGGGAGGGTCATCATTATCAATGTGAGTCAGGACCGGGAGGATCAGGGGTCAGGGGTCAGGTTGGGGCCAGGAAGGTCACCACTGTCAGCACGAGTCAAGTAGAGGTGAAGAGGGTCACCACTCTCAGCCTGATCAGGACTGGGAGGGTCGCCACTGCTAGGGTGGGAAATGGTATCCACTGCTGGGGTCAGGCCAGATCAGGGCAAGGAGGGTTTCCACAGCCACGGTGTGCATCAGGTTATGGGAGGGTGTGTCACCATTGGTGGCGATATGGGTCAGAACGGGGCTTGGGCGCTGCAGGAAGGTTGTGGGTCAGGGATTCTGGGGGTGACTGCTGAGTGCAGGTGGGGTCTGCCCAAGGTGGGGCACTGCCTTGCTGGAGGGACACAGTCAGGCCCTGGGTCTGGCTAGAGAGTGATGGTCCTTTAAGGAGATCTGGGTCTGCAGACACCTCCAGACTGCCTCCTGTCTGAAGGCAGAGGCTGTGACAGTGGGTTGGGAAGGCCCAAAAAGGGGCTCAAAAGGCTGAACGTTGGTATTAACAGGTGAGCAGTGCTCTAGAAAAGGGCATATGCATGGTTCTTTATGTCACGTCCGTGGCTGCTGTGCACCAGGGGGTTGGACTGAACTTTTGGATGTCAGGACTGGCTCTCCTAAGTTCTGGGGTCCTCCTCAAGTCAGTGGCTGCCCATAGCGCTGAGGCTGTGGGAATCCTACCATTCTTGGTGAGGGCAGAGGGTGGACAGTGCTGGATCCCATTCTCTTTTTCTCTTCTTACAGCCAGTGGCTATGACCCACATAGAGGCTTGCAAGATGGAGGCAGTCAGTTGTGTGTTCTGGGGTATCTGTTGTCAAATTTGCTTGTGCTTCCTGAGCTTTCCTCACACAGATTGATTATTGGTGTGCATAGAGTTCCCATCGCTAGTTTTTTGTTTTTTTTTTTGCCTTTGTCCCGTGGTGCCCAGTACTGTGTCAGACCTCACCACCTGTAAAGTTTATGGGCGAATAACCCTTGTGTTCCCCTGCCTTGGTGTGGGGAGAGAGATTGAGGCCCTGCTTGGGGCTGCTAGTTCATGGGGCTAGAGGATCTGGCTCAATATCCTGGTGTCCTTATTCTAGAAGGCCCGAAGGGGCATTCTGGCTGAAGCATACTTCCCTCCACTGTGGTCATACGCAGATTTTTCGGTGTGATTTAGTGAGATTTGGCAAGAAAGAGAGAGGGTTCCATAAAGCCGGAAGGTTATGCAGGTCAGGCAGCACCCGGATGCAAAACAAGGAAGTGTGAGCTGTGGCAGTGCAGTGGAACTTGTTTCCCTTGCTGTCTAGGTGAGCCAGGAGAAAAAAATAACCAGGGCAATTATGAACCAGACTTCCTCTTTTGTTAGTTGTTTGGAGCCTTTTTCTTAATTGAAACAGGGCAAGAAATCTGTAATATTTTACATAAACATTTACCAAGCTTCATTACTTCTTAGGGAAGTGTGCTTCCCCAACACCACCATTAGAGGGCGCCTCCATGTTCAGGGTGGGAAGGCAAGGGAGGATTTGGTACCGACCCACAGTCGCAGAGTTGTCAGGCAGGACCCACAGTAGCAGGAGAGGCTCTGTTTGGGGCCAGGATTCCTCCACCTGATGTCAGCAGAGTTTATTTAGATTGATTTCTAAAGCAGATGATTAGGTATCGCAGTGCACTGACATTGTAGCATATCCCCCTTCCAAAGGATGTGCAAGAGTCCCGATCTTGAAGATTTTCATCCATGTTTATCCTGTAATTACAGTTGTACATTTATGTCCATGGCCAGCACCATATAGTTGATATATGTTTAAAGTTTTAAGAAATTGCCAAGATTTCCCAGAGTGGTTGTATCTTTTGACATTTCTACAAGTAGTGTGTATACATTCAGTTGCTCTACCTCCTAAAGGACACTGGGTCTGCTTTTTAAAATTTTAGACATTCTGATAGGTGCTTAGAGTATCTTTTGGCTTAAATTTGTATTTCTCTAGTGGATCGTGATGAAACATGTTACTACATGCTTAAGCACCACTAGTATATCCTTGTTGATGTGTCTATGTTTTTTGCTCATTAAAATTGTTGTTGTCATTGAATTTTGAGATCTCTATATTTTTTGGGTTCAAGTCCTTTATCAAGGTGTGCTTTGCAAACCTGATTAGTGGCTCTTCTTTTTGTTCTCTGACTAGTGTTCTTAAAAGAATGGATCTTTTTAGATATAGTTCATTTATCCTTTTTTTCTAAACGGATGGTCCTGTGCTTATATCTAAGAAGTCTCTGTTCTGGTGATACAGAAATGTAATTGATTTTTTATCTTGTTTTTATATCTTACAACCTTTCTAAATTCATTTATTAGTCACAGTAGTTTTATTTTGAGATTTCACCAGATTGTTCACACAGGAGATCATGTTACCTGCAAATAAGAATGTCCCTGCTTCTTGTGATCAGAATACCTTTCATTTCTTTTCATCTGATTGCACCGCAGTATGACACCAAGTGAGAAGAACACAGCCTTTCTTGGTCTTTGGGGGAGGGCTCACCTTCACTACTAGGTAGGATTTGCTTTTGTCCTTCGTAGATGCTCTCTATTTCAAATTTGGTGACAGTTTAAAATTAAGCAATGTGATTTTCTACTTGGAGAACACTATAAACAGTTTAGCAAAGGCTGGGCATGCTGTGATCCCAGCATTTGGAGGCTGAGGCAAGAGTATCATGAATTCAAGACCACTCCAGACTACATGGTGAGATTTTGTCTCAAGAAAAATGGTTAGTAAATCAAAGCTGAACACTATCTGGTAAGACCTCAGAAGAGCTGCTATTTTCAGAGTACTGGTTTTTCGCTTTGCTGATTCCCCATTTCCCCTCCTTTCTGATCAGCCTGAGGCTATCTTTCCCATCCTGTCAAGTGCACTGGGAGGTAGACTGGGCTGCAGTTCTTTATGGGAACCAAATTCCTGTACACAGCCACAAGTCTGGTGTTTGTTTTATCAAGTAAAGTATTTCTTTTTTTGTTTTTGTTTTTTGAGACAGGGTCTCACTGTGTAGTTCAGGCTGGCCTTGAACTCACTGTATAGACCAGGATGACCTAGAACTCACAGTGATCCTCCTGCCTCAGCCTCCTGACTGCTGGAATTACAGGCATGCGCCACCAAGCCCAACTCTTAGTAAAGGTATCCCTAAGCTTAAACCATAGCACTGAACTGATATATATATATTTTTATTTTCAGGAGGATTTGCATTTGTGTATGAAGCTCAAGATCTGGGAAGTGGCAAAGAGTATGCATTAAAGGTAAGGAGAATTGCTAGACACTGTGGGGAGGGGTTTGGTTTATTTACAGATATCTCTAGGTCTGTTTTTGGAGGTGGGTCCTTGTTCTGCATTTTGTATCTGCTTTACAATTCATCTGTCTGTCTTCTGTCTCTAGCTTGGGTTGAGGACACCTTCAAGGTGTTTCTGTCTGATATGGGGGCTGGTCAGCCCTGGTGGGAGGGTGACAGTGACCTCACCATGGGCTCACAGCCCCTTTGTTCCATGTTTCAGAATTAGGGTCCAGGAACATGGAGTTGAGAACCCGTTCATGTGGGATTTGTGTCCACAGAGCCTGCGCAGATAGGGGTCGCTGTGGGATGGGAGGAGTCTCCATGACCTGGGTGCAGGGTGGGGCAGCTCTGGTGTTTCCCTGAAGCACAGCCGCAGTGGCCTTGCTGTGGGGGATGTGGGTCGCTCTTGGGGAGCTGGTTTGTCCCCATTGTTGGATGCTGAGGGGCCGGGCTTTGGCAGGCCAAGGTGGGTGCCTATGCCTCTGCCTGGCAGCTCCTCTCGCTCTCCTTGTCTGTCTTGTTTTACTCAGGCTCCTATTTTTACTTTGTGTTTTGTCCTTGCCTCATGAGGGTTGTTCAAGGGTCTCTAAGCTTCTGTCAGGTCAGATGTTAAAATGCAGCTAAGCAGGTTCTTTGCTCTCAGATGTAGTGCCTTTTCTTTTCTGGGGTGTTTGTCTAAGATAAGGTGCTGTAAAGGGCAAGGTAAACAGTCTCCAACCTTTCTTGTGTGCTATTCCCTGACAGCGGTTACTGTCCGATGAAGAGGAAAAGAACAGAGCCATCATTCAGGAAGTTTGCTTCTTGGTATCCTTTTCCTGGGCCATCCCTTAGGGAGCCACCAGCCGCCAGAAGCTTCTTTGTGTCATTCTGCACGATGTGTTAAAATTGCCCTTTTGCTTTTGCTAAATTTCTTGAAGACCATTGCCGGTGGAAGGAGTTTTCTTCCTGTTTTGTACTCTCCAGGTCATAGTAAAAGATTCAGACATATTGGGAAGGGGGTGTTGCTGTTCCTACTCCAGAGATCTCCACGCCTGGTGGTGGCTAGTACCTTAGGGAGCACCCTTCCCCACCCAGCTGACAGCCTGGTTAAGGGCTGTGTAGACAGTCATGGTGCTGGCAGGCCTCCATGTGGCCTTTTGCTCAGCACCGGCCACACGGATGTCAGGTCTGTGGGCTCTTCCTTCCTGTCCTCTGCTGCTGCCCATATCCTCCCCAGGTGGGCCCCACATCACTGCTGGCTGGATCTGCTTCTTTTCTGTCTAAGCTTGACCTGCTCAGAGAACGTGCTGGCCACTCAGCTGTGGATATCGTGGACGTGGTACCCCTCCCAGCCTCCCTGCCGTGGCACCCCCTAGCCTTTGCTTGCCTGCACGTCGCTCTCTATGCTGCTTCCTCCTGCACCCTTGGCTTCTCGCGTCTCCACATGGCCATCCTCACTTTTCTGCTCAGCTGAGATGTAAGGCAGTCCAGGTATCATGACTGGTCTCCCGGTGCTGTGTGTGTTCTGAGTGCACAGAATTGTGGACATGTAAATGCACGTTCTCCTTTAACAAGATAACCTGCAGAAAAAACTCTCCGGCCACCCCAACATCGTCCAGTTCTGCTCCGCAGCATCCATAGGAAAAGAGGAATCAGACACGGGGCAGGCAGAGTTCCTGCTGCTCACAGAGCTCTGCAGAGGTAAAGTCCCTCTGGAGCCCAGGATGCTGCTCTGTGGTGTGTTCACCCTGTCATAAACTGCTCTCTGGGTCCTCTCTGAAGGTACTGGTCTCAGCCAAAAGAACAGGCCAGTCATGTGGTGGTCTGAGTCACCTAGAACAGGCTTAGCTGTGTCCCTTTCCAGACTGCAGGCTCTAGGGGAGCAGGGTCACCCTTGTCTTCCCAGTGTCAAGGTGGGCTGGCACAGAAGAGGCAGTCAGTGAACGTGCGGGAAGGAATGGGGACCATGTCCTCTTGGCAAAGAGAGGGACCCTTAGGGGGCATGTGGCCTCCTCAGGGTCAAACCCAAGGAAGCATCCGGACAGGGAGAGGCCAGTGTGCCTTGCAGAGTGCGGTGGTAGCCTCCTTCATTGTCCAGCTCAGCTGCAGAGCATCTGCTAGGTACCAGGGAGCTGCTGGGTCTGAGCTGTCTAAGGACCAGTGGCGCTGTGAGCGAACTCTCTGCTATGGCCGTTGCACAGTGCCTGTTTGCCTGGGCAGTGAGTATAGAGAAAGGAGGCCCAGGAGGAGCAGTGTGGGAGACTGAGGCAGCCCAGCCGTGTGAGCACTGCAGCCCACAGGCCACCAGACAAGCTGTTAAAACAGCCAGCATGGGCAGTGTGGCGGGGCTGGTAGAAGACAGAGGAGGCTGGGGCCTAAGTGGACACCTGGGACAAGGAGTGGAAATCATGGGGCCAGCTTAGCTGGAGGGAGAGGTGTGGAGGCCACATGGGGCCGTGTGTTGAGCGGAGGGAGAGTGGGTGGGCAGATGGTGTGGTCTGTGTGGGGCTGGACCCTTCACTGGCACAGGCAGAGGGTGGGGAAGCGGACTGGGGACACCCAGAGTTGAAGGCCCTGGTGAGAGGATTCTGCTGTGCCCTCACCTGTGCTTTCTCTTTGCTCAGCTGATGACCAGATGGCCCTAGGCCCTGGGGGGCCTGCTGTGTGTTTGTGAGTTCACTGCTGTGGCCAGGACTTTGGTGCCTTAACTCTGCTTGGGGCCCTTGTATGGATTTTTTTTTTTCCCTCAACTTTTTATTGTTTGTTTTGTTTTTGGTTCCGGGGATCAAGCTCAGGACCTTGTGCTTGCAAGGCAGGCGTGGTGCCGCTGAGCTAAATCCCAAGCCCCTCAACTTTTTATTCTGAAGTTTTAAATCTATAGAGAACTTGAAAGAGGCGCTCTGGACACACAGGATGCTCATTTATATCACTGATTTTTCCGTTGTGTTATCCCTTTCTGTGTTCTTGCTGAACCATTTAAAGAGAAGTTGCAGAATATCAAGACCAGAGATCTTTTTTCTCAAGTGTGGCCTGACTGTCCCTAAGGAAAGCTTTGTGATGTGACAGTGTGGCACACTGTTCTGCTGTCTTTAGCTGTCCCCGGTGTCTTTGTCATGCTGCCTCAGCCCCACACAGCCCTCTGCGGCCCCTGTGCTGTGATCAGTGAGACCACCTGTGTCCTTTCTGTTCCGAGTGATACTTGTTGTCTGCTGGCTGCTGTTTGGGGTGCACAGTGTCTAGGAACTGGTTCTGGGCCCTGGGCCATCTGCACAGGTGGAGAAGATGTCAGCCCTGGTTCTGTAGATGCCTCTACTCAGCTTTCACCTGGGGCCTTCCCCTTAGGGGGTGTCTATTGTTATTGTCATTTGCAGTTACAAAAACATGTGCTCAGTGAAAAAAACAGAAGACCTAGAGTTGAATAATACTTATAAACCTGGTGTATTTTTGTTTTGTTTTGTTTTTTGCCTGAGACTGTATCTCATTGTGTAACTAGGCTGCCCTGTAACTAGCTATGTAGCCCAGGTTGGCCATTAACTTGCAGTCTTCCTGCCTCAGCTTCTCAGATAGCTAGAATTACAAGATGTACTGACCTCTACACCTGGCTCGGGGTTTACTACATGTACTTACTTTTAAACATTCTTTTTAAAATCAAGCATCTCTTGATGCCAATAGAGCATGTCGCTTACACTCGAGGACATTTTCCCAGACTGGCAGTGGATGCCAGAACCTAGGGACAGGTCAGAGCCTCTGATAGGAGCGTCATGACTGTGGCCGCTGCTCTGATAACCAGGATGGATCCTGAGTCCCTAAGCACCCACCCAGCGAAGATAGGCTGGGCCGTGGGTTACCCCTCAGGGCACTGTGAGGTTCCATCATACACTTGAGGTGGCGCACAACGTAAATGCTGTCAGTCAACTTTGGAGGGTCCCACTCAATGTCTTTGGACCACAGTTGACTGTGGACCTTGGGTGAGGGGTGGCCTGCTCACCTCACCACGCTCAAGAGGCTGGGGTTCCCTCGGCTGGGACATTGCTGGTGATCCCGGGTGCATTGTTGGAGCTGCTGGGTCTGGCTGAGTCTCACACTGCATGGTGGAACAGATGTGGTCAGGGTGTGATCCTTCCTGCCCCACACACTTTGGCTCCTGTGGGTTGAGGCCAGGTGAGGTCCCTACCATCTAGCGTTTTCCCAGGTGCTGTTCAAAACGCCCTCCCCACATCATTTGGGAAAGTCAGAATTGTTTGCACTGACTTTCCAGCTCTGGGGATCCTGGTCCTGGAGGGTTAGAGCTGAAGCTGTTGAGAACAGGGTCCGGTGCTGTGGCACTCCCCGAGGTGGAACAGTAAAGGGTGTGGCAGGTGTAGGCTCAGGTGCTGCCCCTGGCTGGTGCTGTGGAAAGCAGAGGGTCCAGCTGCCTGGCTCTCCCCTCCAAGTGAGGCCATGCTTCCCCTCAGGGTGACTTAGAGTCCTCACGAAGTTCATTGTCTGCAGGGCTGTGGAGGGTGCATCCCAGGCCGCTTTGCAGGGACTGGCCAGTGGGGCCAGAGTGGAGGTGCAGGATGCTAAAGAGGTGGAGGACGGAGGGACTGCTGTGCAACAGCTGTTCAAGCTTAGGAGGCCTTGCGGCAAGGCTCCTGAAGCAGAGCCACTGGCTGGGAGGCTGGTAGCACTGTCTTCCTCCACTGCAGGAGGCCCTGAGGAGAAGGGAGAGCTCTTTGGCCATTCCTACAATCACAAGTGGAGTTTTACTTCTCTCTGTTTTGTAGCATGGGGATGGAACTCAGGGCCTCTTATGTGCTAGGCAAGCACTCTACCACTGAGTTTATTCCTCAGCCCCAACATTTTTATTTTTTTTACAAAAAATTCTAAATTCTGCCCAAGAATTAGCCACTGAACGTAGCCAGGATCACCACCTGTGTTCTGCCCACAGGCCTGGCCCTTCTTCCCTGGGCCCACCTGACTCTTCCTGAGTCCCTGTTCCTCCCAAAGCCTCAGTCCCTTAAGGTTGGTACAGAGACTGTGGGGCAGATGTGGCTGAGGTAGGACAATGTTCAGTTCAGCCAAGGTTGAAAGCCAGGGTGGCCTGGCTGGCAGGGCCTGAGGCCATTCTGGGCTAGGAGATGGGAGGGCATCCAGACTTGGTCTGGAATCCCTGTGTGGGCGTACACCTGGGGCTCCTGCTTGAAAGTTGCGTTACTAGAAAGCCTCACTCTGAGCTGCAAGAGATCAGACACATAAGCCTATGTTCCCTTTCTTCTAGAAGTTGCAGAGTCCCGGAGGTTACTACTGATGCTGCCCCTGGGGCACTAGCATCCAGACTCTGGTACTTCTTGAAGCTGCTGCTGGCCCTGCTGTGTGCAGGCTCTGGGGTCCCTGCACTGTCCAGGTGAAACTGACAGGCTTAGAAACCTGAGCTGCCAGCAGAGAAAGGGGTGCATGTTCAGATGAGGTGGGCAGTGAAGCCCCTGGAAGTGAGTATGAGGTGTGGGGCCAGCACACTTGGGAGCAGGGAGGAGATGCAGTCACCAGAGTTGGTGGCCCTGATCTGTTGGCTGAGGGCCTGTTTGTGGGCTGTGGCTGTGGTGTGGCCTTGGCTTTGGCTGTGGTGTCAAGTGGGCTTGGAGTGTTCTGGGCAGGGGATCCCCAGGGACTGCTCTGTGGAGAGCAAGGTGCAGGGGCACAGAACCAAGACCAGGTTGGATGCAGAGGCCTATGGCAACACCATGCTTGGGGCTCTAGTTAGAACTTCAAGACCTGCAGTGGAGTGGGGTGGTTGGGATTCAGCAGCCCCTGGAAAACGTGTGGGCGTGCACTGGGCACCAGCAGTGTCCCAGCCCAGGTTCTCCGCCCTAGGGCTGGCAGAGCTGGTGGTCTAGCCTAGGATCCTTGCAGAGCAGCTGGGTGGTGCCAGACCCAGTGCAGGTCCGGTGTCGTGTGCAGTCTTGGAGACACTATGTTAGCAGATGAATACCATCTGCACCTAAAAAGGTGAAATGACCTCTGCATGGACACACTGAGAACTCGTGTTGTTATCATCACTGCAGATGGTCCATAATCACTCTGTGTGGCCCTGTGAAGCACGCACATCCTTAATTCTTTCTGTGCCCAGCTACAGGGGACATGTTTCTCTCACTTGGGCCTCCATTGGATGGCCTTGCTTTTTGTGCTGTTCCCAGGTTGCCCCATCCCTGCTGCTCTAGGGGTGGCTGCCGCGGACACTTGGTACCCATAGACCTCCTTCAGCAGAGGAGGAACAGCAGAGGTGGCACCGCTGGGCAGGCCTACTGCACGTGCTGATTGGCCTCAGATAATCCAGAGGTGTAAGGCCACACACCAGGCAGAACTGGCCAGGAGGGCAGAGCATTTTTTTAGGCCCACAGTGATTGAACTCAATTGTCTCTTTTAGGGCAGCTGGTAGAATTTCTAAAGAAAATTGAAGCTAAAGGCCCTCTGCCCTGTGACACCATCCTGAAGATCTTCTACCAGACGTGCAGAGCTGTGCAGCATATGCACAGGCAGAAGCCGCCCATCATCCACAGAGACCTCAAGGTGCCAGCTGTGGGCACAGGTGCCCTCATATCACTCCATACCCTGGTCCCTGGCTGAGCTGAGGCCTTGTGAGCGCTGCCCCTGTGGGTCTCAGGCATCCCTGTCCCCTGGGCTCGGGCAGGGCTACCTCTCTTCTTCTGCCTCCCTGGTGCGGGCATCCTGGCATGCATGCATGGGCTGCCCTCTGTCCTCCTCAGGGCTCCTGCCACCCAGTCCCTGTCTTGCTGGGCCTCTGTCCCTGCAGTTGACCTGGGCAGCCCTGCCAGCATGCTGGGGTGGAGGAACAGCCCTGGATGTTGTGAATTTACCTTTTCCTGATTATTAACAGCAGTGACTATTTCTGCGTTTACAGTCGTCAGTGCCTTATTCTTTTGTTGGCTTCCCTTTAGTATTTACCTTTTTCTCCTCTTTCTTTATGGGCTTACAAGTTTGATTCATTGGGGCTCTGTGTGTCCTGTGGTGAGCTTTCTAAGGCTGTGTGTGCTTCAGGAGTCTTCTCGTTTTGTCCCGGGTTTTACTCTGCTGTTGCGTCTTGTAAATAAGCGCCAGATTTGAGAGTCATCCAGTGTCCACCAAGCTTTCCCTTGGCCTGACTCCTCACTGAGGCAGATCATCTGTGCTGAGGAGTTTTCAAGCTGTTTTCACTCACAGATACTTGTGTGCACATCTGTGGGAGCCAGATGTTTCTTACATCACTGTAGCATTCTAGCCAGCAAAGCACACGTAATCCTGGGAGGTCAGCTCATATCAGCCTTTATCCCAAAGTGTGGTCGGCAGTATACCTCTGCCAGGCCTTGGAAGGTGCCCCCATGCGTTGGGTCCACCAGACCCCTGAGGTTCCTCTCAGTGCTCGGTCTACCTTTACTGCCTCAGGTGTTACCTGGAACTGACTAGGTGTGTGATACAGGGTAGAGGGCAGCATCTATCTTTCCACCTGGATGCCCACCTGGCCTGGCAGCCAAAGCCACAGCTGCCTCGTTCAGGCAGGGTTCTGCCCAGGCCACCTGCCTGGCCTCCTTGGTCTCTGGCCTTTGTGTGCCTGTGAGATTCCAGGACATGGGGCTCTGCCTCATGTGCCATGTGCTGTTGGCCTCAGAGCCATCCCCCCTGCATCTCATTCTGCCCTCGGTCTCCTCATCCCAGGGTCTAGAAGGTGTTTTCTATGGTGTGTCCCTGGTTGGGGTAGGTTCTGTCCTCTGTGACTGGCCAGGAGTTCCATCTTGTGCTTCTTCCCATAAAACTAAGATACCACGGTGAGCCTGGCCTCTGTCATTGGCCCCTAAACTCAGAGACGTTTGGAAAACAGGCTTTGAGGGACTGGTGGCCAGATCCCTCCCTCACTTCAGGAAGATATCTGCTTGTCCTGGGCTCCGTCCTTCTTCTCCCTCCTCTCCTTCCTCTCTTTATCGTTTATTCTGTAATTTATTTTTCTTCTTTTTGGACTTTGTGTCCAGTGTTCTTGGCTGCCTGTAGCAGGAATGTCTTTCAAAATTCCAGAACCAGAGTGCTGGACCCACTGAGGAGGTGAGGGCTCTTCTTGGACCTGTTTTTCTGTTGTCCTTTCCCTGTGGTTTGCAGACACTCGGTGGGGGAAGGGATCCCATCTGTGGCCACCCTGATGCCCTCCATGGTGCCTTGGTGACCAAGTGTCACTTGAGTCTTGGGGAGGCCGGCGGATGTTCCTTCCTGTTGCCTATTGTGGACTTGGGTCGTGTCTGGTATGGAAAGCTCTCTCCTCCTCCTTCTGGGCCCTACCTTCCCACCCCTGGGATGCGGCACGTTCTCACCTTGTCCCCACAGGGTACCTTGTGGTGAGTGTGGTGCTCACTGGGTCGTGTGCCTGTGCTGTGACCAAAACCTTACACAGAGGCCTGTCTGCTTCTGTTGGCTCTTTGTGTCTCTATACAAGCTTTTTTTTTTGGTACTGTGGATTGAACTTGGGACCTTGTGCTTGTGAGGCAGGTGGTGGAACCACTGAGCTACATCCCTGGCCCTATGTACAAGTTTTTGAATCATTTGTCAAGTTCCACCCAGACTTCTCGGGATTGACTGAAATTGCTGTGACTCTGAAGCAGGTTTGACAGACTTCTGTGAGGGGCAGTTAGGGATGTGACACTGTTGGCCACAGCAGCCTGCTCAGGGGAGCACACTCACTGGAGCAGTAGGTGTGGCTGTGGGGAACAGGGAAAGGGGACGTTACTAGAACCTCTACAGTGAGTCCTAGTCTCCTGCGAACTACGACAGCACAGGTGAAGTAATTAATATAGAGAGACAGAAATAAGACTAGAGAAGCTGAACTTTGTCCATCGATGCCACTTTTGGTGGCAAAGACCCCAGACCTGGAGCTTGCCACACCTTTGTTAAGAACGGCAGCAAAACAACAGTAGCAGTTGACTTAGAGGGTGTCGTAATGACCCTCAGACAGTGAGGAACTATGCAGATGAAGATTTGGTTCCTCCCAGGATCTCTCCAGCTGGTGTGGTCCTGCCCTGGAGCATCGCAGCATCATGGGGACAGGACACTGAAGTCTTAGCTATCACTGGAGGCGAAGATGAAGTTATGGGGAGTCATGTCTCGATGTGCTTGTAACTGGCCTGGAGACAGGAAAACTAGGCCCTAATCATAATTTAATTATGAAATGATTTTTCCACAAAATCATATAGAATGGCTCCCGACACGTAGCAAACTCTGAATCTATGGAATGGAGCTGGGATTCCCCGTAATTTCGTGTGTCTGAAATGCTAATTTTTCTTTGAGCCCCTCCCCTTGGGTATTTAGTTTTAATTTTTTAAAAATTTTATTTGGTTTTTTGAAACAAAGTCTCACTGTGTAGCTGAGACTGACCTGGAACTTACCATGGAGCCCAGGCTGGTCTCAAACTCATAGTGATCCTCCTGCCTCAGCCTCCCAAGTGCTGTGATTACAGGCATGTGCCACCACGCCTGGCTTCCCCTTGGGTATTTAAAAGTGTAAAAACTATTCCTAGATTGTGGACTGTGGCTAGAGTTGTCCCCTCTGCTGGAGCCACTTAGTGCTGTGATTTCTTAATGATGTTGTGATACTGCTTGGGAGCTTGTTGTGATTCTTTGTATGATTTGTATTTAAATTTTATCTCAGTTGTTTTATGATCTTTTGCAGGAGGTCTTTTGTCTGTCTTTTATTGAGTTTGTTCTGGGGTTGTTATGTTTAATTTAGTTTCTAATGACATATATTGTTTTATCTTTTGGCTTCTCTGAAGGCTTGTTGTATCTCATGTGATTAATTGGGATTATCTGTTTGATTTATAGTAATTCTAACTTTTTTATTTTTCTGAGTTGTGGGTATGTTGCTTCTGATCGGAAAGAATTTAAGATGAAGCATGGTTCCTTGGAGAAAGGCTTTTTGCTGACCTCTGTGTGACCCTCCTTCCCCGGCTCTGCCTAGGGGCGTCCCCCTTAGGCCTGGGGCACTGTCTGCACTGCTGTTAGGGGTGTGGAGCTTGCTGCCTCTCTACAGGGGGCTGCCGGGCCGGCCTAGGCTGTGGTCAGTACCCTCACCCCAGCATGGGTCTTCCTGCTGGGCCTGTCAAATTCCCTTTGCCCCCACAAGGTCATAGACTGTCTTTTGGCATCTTGCAGGTTGAGAACTTGTTACTTAGCAGCCAGGGGACCATTAAGCTGTGTGACTTTGGCAGTGCCACCACGATCTCGCACTACCCCGACTACAGCTGGAGTGCCCAGAAGAGAGCCATGGTGGAGGAGGAGGTGAGGCCAAGTGGTGGCGCCGTGCCCCAGGAGGCCACTCCCTGTCCCTTTTCTCTCTACCTGTGTCCTTTTTGGCTCCTGTCACCCTTTGGTGCAAGCTCAGTGTGTCCCCAAGGACCAGGAGGTAGAGACTGCCGGTGCCAGGGTCCAGGGCCCTCCCCACGCTCTCGTAGCCGTACACAGCTGAGTGGAGCATTTCAGCTTGTTCTCCTCAAGGCAGGTGGCTCTGAAAGTCTTAGGCCTTATTCTTGGGGATTTTAAAAAAACTGTTGTAAAACACACGCACCGTGAACTTTACCACTGCAGTCGTTCTGAGTGCACAGCGCAGTGGCCTCAGAGCGCCTCTCACCCACACACGGATATCTTTAAAGTATGGTTTAGAAGCATGCCTGGGGGGCTTGTCTCTCCCTGGGAGTCCCTGCTTGAGGCTGAGTTGCACTACCTTCAGTTGAGGGGCCTGAGACCCTTCTGGGGCCTCGTGGGAGAACAGGGTGTGCCCGGCCTTCAGCAGAGCTTGGAAAGTTGCAGAACCAATGCAGAACTAAAAACGCTCCTTCTTGTAACTTCTCTGTGAAATGGTCGCATTTTTTCCTTCAGATCACAAGGAACACCACTCCCATGTACAGGACACCAGAGATTGTAGACCTCTATTCCAACTTCCCTATCGGCGAGAAGCAGGATATCTGGGTGAGCCAAGCACCTCGCGGCTGGTCCCCCAGGGCCCATGCACAGCTGTGGCCTACAGCCTGGGCTGTCCTGGTGGGAGCCGCCTGCCTCCACAGCCTCCTTCCTTTTGCTGACCTTGGTCTTCGTCTTGAGAAGATTCACTTGAGTGCTAGTGGGGTGATTGGAGCAGGGCCAGCTGGCGTTGCCATGGCGTTTATGGAGACAGCATATGGCAGTGGAGCCTGCACAAGGCAGGTCTGCACCGGCCGTGTCTCTGTCAGCCCAGAGCTCTGCTCCTCTGGGCTGTGTCCTGTTGGCCAAGGGCGTCTCTCCATTCTCACGGGCAGGGGACAGCCAGCGCCACAGCTGTGCCTGCAGACCATCCTCCCACTCAAAACCTCGTCAGACCCTCACAGCTCAGATCAGCTCCTTCCCTGCTGGCCCTGAGGCCCCAGTTAATTTTCTTGGGTTTTGACCGAATGGCTATGAAATGAGCTTCCCACAATCCCCCCCTTGGCTTTACTTACTGTGCTAGAGTGGCTCACATCCCCAGGGACATACTGACTTACATCTCCTGGTTTGTCATAAAGGGTATCCCTGAAGGTGCAATGAGGAGAGTCCCAGGGAGAGGTGGGGGTGTGGATCTCCACCCTCCAGATGCTCCTGTCTCACTGTACAGGTGCTCCCTACACCTGTCCTTTGGTTCTAGTTTAGTTCTGCAGTTCTGGGGGTTGAGCCCAGGGCCAGGCCTGACTCCCTGGCATGTGTCTGTGTGGGGCCTGATTTGAGCCGCTGTACAGGGGTGACGAGGACCTATACCCTGTCATTGTTAGCTTGTCACATCTTGGTCCCCCACTTGCCCTCATGACCAGTGACCCTCAGCACATGTCTGGGCACAAGAACACAGCTGCTGTGCTTCATCTGGTCCCCAGTGTGCTGCTCCTAGCAGCTGGACAAGGGGAAGTGTCTCAGTAACCACAGGCTCTCTGTTTATACCAGTGGGTGTCAGGGAGAGGTGAGGCTGCTGGAAACCACAGAGAAGGGTGCCCCTCATGCTACCTGGGGCTGTGGCCAGGAGTCATTGGGACCATGTGTCCTGGCATCTGTTGTGCCTCTTGTGTGGTAAGGTCCTTGCAGGTGCCCACTAACCCACAGATCTCAATGCTTTAGTATGGCCTGTATAAATTTGAGGGGAATTGGGTCAGAGAGCTCTTGGGATTGAATCCAGCACCTTCGCCTGAGCTATAGCCCCAGCCTTTTCTAAAATTTTTGATTTTGAGGCAGGATCTCACTAAGTTTTCTAGGCTGGACCCAAACTTGTGATTCTCCTGCCTTAGCCTCCTAGCATGCTGGGGTTGCAGATATGTAATACCATATCAGGCTGAAGGCAGTCTTTTGACGTGAAAATATGAGTTTGGAACTTTGCCATGGTACCCTCAGGAGTTCATTTTGCTGGATGAGAGTGGCAGGACCAAGGCTTCCGGTTTTGTGGACCACATTGCCTACCTGCTCAGGCAGCTTGACATTTGTGAGCCAAACCAGGGTATGACTTGTAGAACTGAGGAGATGAAAAGCCTAGCAAGTGCTCTCCAGGGCACGAGGATGGATTGCCCTGTGCCTGGCTCTCACCCTGTGTCTGGGAAGCCGTGCCTCAGCCTCTGCTTTCCCCTCAGGCCCTGGGCTGCATCTTGTACCTGCTGTGTTTCCGTCAGCACCCTTTTGAGGATGGAGCAAAACTACGGATTGTCAATGGGAAGTACTCGATCCCTGCAAATGACACGCGGTACACCGTCTTCCATGACCTCATCCGTGAGTCCTCATGAGTGTGCTGCTGGGCATCACCACCCACATCTCCCACTGCCACAACTGTCTAGCTTTGTCCCTGTAGCTCTACCCTTTGTGAACTTAGGGAACTCTGAATGGCCAGTTTTTTGTTTTGTTTTTAGCACTGGGAGTTGACACTGGGATTACTGAGCTATATTCCCAACCTGTGTTTTATCTACTTATTTATTTTGGTACTGGGAAATTGAACTTAGGACCATGTGCTTGCAAGGCAGATGCTGTGCTACTGAGCTTAAATCCCTGGCCCTGCCTGTTTTTCGTTTTGAGACAGAGTCTTGCTAAGTTTCTCAGGCTGGCTTTGAACTTGAGAATTTCTTGCCTCAGCCTTTCTCAGTGCTGCAATTGCAGGCATGCACTACTGTGCCCGGCTTGAATGCCCATTTCTGCTGACTGTTCAGTTTTATCCTTTCTCTTTTGCTATTCCCACACTTGTCTCTGGCCTCAGCATTGTGTGTACAGCAGATGGCCTGGTGGTGCCATTCATCCTGGGCATAGGGCTGTGCTCGGCATAGGTCAAACACAGCTACTGTGTTCTGTCACAGGCTCCATGCTGAAGGTCGACCCTGAGGAGCGACTGTCCATTGCAGAGGCTGTGCGCCAGCTGCAGGAGATTGCAGCGGCCAGGAACGTGAACCCCAAGGCACCCATCACAGAGGTGAGGCCCATCATCTCTTCTGGCCATGCCTGCATTTCAAGGTGTTGGGGATAATGTGTGCTCAGCGTCACTCTGAGATCTCCTTTGGGCTCTAGCTGTTGTGCGGTGAGAGCTACTGCAGCCTAAGGGAAGGTCATGCCCTGGGTGCTTCAGTGAGGGAGTTTCTTTGTGCCTTTCATGCTTCCTGGGCTCAGGCGTGCAACCATAGCTCGGGGTCTTGGCTGTAGTCACTCCCAGACTCAACCCACACGTCCAGTGACGCTCAGGGCCTGACAGGCTGGGGAGAGCGGAGCATGCCAGAGAGCACTTTGGCGTATTGGCCAGAAACCCTTCCTGAAGTAGCCATGAGGTTGCAGGGAGCAGGTGGGTCCCTGGGCTCCTTTGGGTCCCACCTGTGGACTTTGCCACCCTCCCCTGGAGCTCTGGTCCCTGTCCTGTGGTGTTGGGTTCTATCAGCCTTGGGGCTGGAGGCCAAATTTTCTAGGGGCTGTGAATGTGGGGCTGCTGAGGGTGAGTGCAATGTGGAGAGGTCAGAGTGACTGGCCTGAGTCCTTAGGGCTAGGAACCCCAGTGTGGGAGGAGATGGAGGGGTCAGGTTTGTGGTTCCCATGGAAGTGGCATTAAGTGCACAGGCTAGGGGAGTGGCAAGAAATGGGGCACAGGCTCTAGGGGCACCAGGTAGGTGCTCTGAAGCTGGGTGCCAGGTACTCTGGGGTTGGTGAGTGGATGCCATGGTCAGAAGTGTTGGGGAGGCAGGGGAGATGGGTTGGTTTCACACAGGAGCTGAGGGATGATGGTTGGCTAATGGCTTTGCTCTAGGGTGACTGGGCCTCTGGGCCTCTGACTCGAAGACCTATGTGTGACCTGCAGAGGTGGAGGTGGGTGCTGGGCCTCTTCTTGCTGTCCAGAGAGGAGGTCCCACTGGTGGGTTAACAGTGCATCTGATCCTGGCACTTAGAGAAGCCCTTAAGCCCTCCTCTGCGCCAGCTGACTCTCCGGAGAGCATGGCATGGCTGAGGAGGCAAGGACGCCGGCCCAGCCCCCGACCAGCTGCTGGCGCCTTTGGGCTGAATGTGCACTGCTTTTACTCCAGGGGTTGGTGGGCTGGGGAGAGGTGGAAGAGGAGAAAGAGGCTGCAGCCCAAGGACAGGAAGGACCAGCCACCAGGGCTCCACCGAGACAGGCTCAGGGCTGTGGCAGACTGCACCTGGCGTTGTGGGAGCTGACTACACCTCTGCCTTACAGCTGCTGGAGCAGAATGGAGGCTATGGGAACCCAGGGCCGTCTCGGGCACCACCCACTCCCGGAGGGCCTTCGAGCACCAGCTACAGTGGAGGTGAGACCTGTCTGTCACCCTGCCTGCACACCAGAAACCAGGTCCTTGTCCCATGGGCTTCCTCTCTCAAGGGAGCTAGGCTGCAGGGCTTGGGTGCTTGAGGCCCCACTTATTACTGGGACTCCAGCTCAACCAAGCTGAGGAGCTCAGTGTGGTGTCAGATCCAACAGGAAGGTTTAGACCAAAGTCAGCTGAGGGTGGTCACGGGGCAGGGCCAGAAGGACCGGTACAGCCCCCAGGGTCCATCCTAGGGCAATTGTGGGGCCTCACCGGGCGAGGGCATGGCCCTCCTGGTGTCCAGGTTGTTGTTGGGGTTGGCCTGGTGGGCACAGCTGACCTGTCTGCCCTGGAGCTCAAGACCCTGCAGTGAGCCCCACTGCAGCTTGACCTGGGCCGCAGGAAAGCTGACCCTCTGGGTGGGGGTGTCTAGAGCCCCTGTGGGAGTAGGCTTCAAGGAGTGTGAGGGAGGAGGATGGCTGTGGGTGGCATTGCAGCCTTGCGCTGACCATGGGTGAGGCCTCTCCTCTTTTCAGGGGCTGTGGCAGGCTTTGTGGGTCCCTCCTCAGTTCTCTACTCCCTGGGGAGGGTCCTGGGTCCACATCCTATGGAGCCCTCCTGTGCCGTATGTGGCCAGTGTCTCCACGGGTTGTCAGGAGTGGGGCTTGTAGTGCCAGGCTCCCAGCCCGCTTAGCACATCGTGGGAATCTGCACCAGTTCTTCCCCCAGAGCCTTTCTCTGAAGGTCTCACTCAGGACCCTGTGGTTTGGGACCACTCTGTTGGCCGGGGCAGTGTGCCCCTTTGCCCGTGCCCCAAGTCCCTGTGACCCGCCGAGACCTGTCTACCCCCGCAGGCCTGGCCTTGGCAGAGTATGACCAGCCCTACGGCGGTTTCTTTGACATCTTGCGGGGTGGGACAGAACGTCTCTTCACCAACCTCAAGGACACTTCCTCCAAGGTCATCCAATCTGTGGCCAAGTAAGTGCAGGGCAGCATGTGCCAGCCTCCCCTCCTACCAAGTCTAGACAGAGGGTGCACCCCACACCTGCGAGCTGGAAGCCCTATCTGTGGAGCCCTCTGTGTGCTGGCACTGGGCTCGTAGACCCCAGCTGAGAGTCTGGCTCCCTCTGCTATCACTCACAAGCTAGTGCCATTTCTTTCTTTGGTGTTAACTGCCAGTGTGGCTGTAGGGTGTGGGGGCCGCTCATCCATACAGCTCTCTCAGTTCACATGGTCACTGTGGAGACCTGGCCACGGGGCTGAACGTGTGACTTTGAGGTCGCCTCTAACATGGAGAGCATGTGATGGGCTGGGCGAGAGCCCTGTGCCAGCTCCTGGGGCACAGTCTCAACTGGGCTGCCTGGGGAACCCTCGCTGGCCCTGGTCACTGCTGCCGCCTGCTGTTTGAGGCCCTGGATGTTTCAGGGAGCACCACAGTGGAGCAGTGCATTCCGTTGTTAGACCCGCAGCGCTGTGGTCCACAGCCTTCTACACCCAATGAAACTTTAGCATCTTGGCTTCACTTTTTTTTTGGTCTTTCTTTTGTGCCATAATTGTCTCTGCGTGTTCTCACTGACAGCTGTGTGTATACACATATGAGCATGTGTCATGCACTCACGTGCCATGTTGTGTGAATGTGTACACTTGTGAGCATATATGTGAATGTCTTGCACAAATAAGTGCCTTGCTGCATTGTGTGAATATGTACATGGGTGAGCATGTGAGTATGTGAGCATGTGTCATGCATGTGTGTGCTGCACTGTGTGTGTGCACGCACGTGTGGGGATACTGTGAGCTCCACACACACTTGGGTGTAGCGGTGTGCTCCTCCAGCTTTGGCTGTTCCCACGGCAGAGGCCGAGCGTACCCAGAGCTTCCCTGTGTCCTTGTGCCTCCCTGGCAGTGTGGGGTGTGGACCTGAGGGGTGTACCCTGCTGCGCCCCTGGCGCCCACCTGTCGGGCTGGAGATTGGGGTGGGTGTGGACCCTGTGACACCCGGTTCCTTTTCTGTGTATATGTCCTGCTGTGTCTTCACTGTGCCTGTGCAGTTAATCTCCAGGGCTGGCTGGGTCTGGTGGTTTGTCCTCAGCTTCGTGCTCTTGTGCTTTTTCTCTTGCTGATACTCATTACGTATCACCTTGTCCTGCTCAGCAGTGCCTCTGCCGAAGCTTCAGAGCATCGGGCCTGCCTGCTGTTCTCTCTCTCATTTGTCTTCTTGTTCGCCGAAGCTCTGGCCTTAGGTGACCTGTCAGTGGTTCTGTAGGTTTTGGTCCTCGGCCCCTGACGCTCGCCTTGGTGGCCCATGCACAGTGGCAGATGTAGAGTGTGACCGCCTCACCCTGGCCATGCCTGACAGCGCAGTACAGCTCGCTGTGCTCCACCTGTCCGCTGGCTGCCCTTTCACGCCTTCCACAAGGGGCTCCCGGCCCCTTTCACAGCCATTTCTTAGGGTGATAATGAGCCTGTGAGTGTCTCCCCAGTCAGTCAGGGTTTGGTTTGTACTTTATTGGTTTTGTCAACCAGCTTAGGGGATAACTGGTCTCTGTAAGTCGGCCGAGGCCAGTAGCAGGGATGTGCCTGGCCCTGTGGCTTGGGGCTTCCCTTCTGCCCTCTCTGGCCTATGTGGGGTCCATGTCCTCAGGCCACCCACCACAGTGCCCTACCAGGCCCCTCAGCCAGTGGGACCCATGCCCACCGTGCATTGTGACCTCACCTTTGTAACCCTCTCTCAAAAACAGCTCCTACTGTTACTTCTCTAGGACACTTGGGAACACGGGAAGGCCACTGAAACCTTGCAGGTGCTGATTCCTGTACACTGCCACTTGGGTGTGACTATCACGTGGTACATGCACACTCAGCACCCTGTCCACACATGCACCTTGGGGTGCGGCCTGCAATGGGGGTGCCCTCTGTTTCCCAGGACTCAGCTGGAGGTGACATGCTGCCAAGTATTTTCTATATAATCATGCACTCTTCTTCTCTGATCCTAGCTATGCAAAGGGCGATCTGGACATATCTTATATCACCTCCAGGATTGCTGGTAGGTTTGCTGGCCCAGCTGTAGGGAGCACCTGTGCCCTTTCCGTGCGTGAAGACAGTTTGTGGCCCTGGGCCGGTCGCCAGCAGAGGCATCCTGGTGCCTCTTTTCCAGCCTCCTGGGTAGCTCGGAACTCCACTGGGATGTGCCTGGGCACTGTCCCAGAGGATTGGTGTTTGGATGACCTGTGTCCAGGGTGCCTCCTGGCTCAGGGGGCAGACAGCCTGGTTTTGGCACCATCTGGAGCGCTGAGGTCATGCACATCTAAACTGGGTCTTCAGGCAAAGTGTAGTAGTCGGGAGTGTTCATTATGACACTGGGAGAGCTGCAGCCTCTCCGAGTCCATGCAGTTGAGTGAGGGGATTCCCCCATGTGGGTGGTCTGATGCGTCGGGCAGTGGCCCACGCTGGGCATCCCTGGTGAATGAGGAGGCGGGTATGTGTGGTAGGTGGGGGTCCTGGGCAGCTGACGGGTGGCTCTTATTTCAGTGATGTCATTCCCCGCTGAGGGCGTGGAGTCAGCTATCAAAAATAACATTGAAGACGTGCGGTTGTTTCTGGATGCCAAGCACCTAGGCCACTATGCTGTCTACAACCTGTCCCCAAGGACCTACCGGGCCTCCAAGTTCCACAACCGGGTGCGTGGCCCTGAGTTTTGTCTTAGTGTGATGTGGTGGATTTTTGGTACCTTTAGTGTGATCAGTCTGCCCCTAGCTGCCCACTAGACTGACCCTGACCTTACCCTAGCAGTCTGCAGTGAGCAGATGGGGTTCTTACTAGGGTGGGCTCTGCAGGAGGTCGGGGCTTGGACGAATAGCCCTGGGGCAGGCCAGGACAACCTTGAGGGCTAGAGTGGGGTGTGTCATGTCAGGGAAGGGTACTGCTCCCCAGAGCTGGGCACCTTCCTTCATCCCTCCTTGCAGCCCCGAGTGGAACAAGCATGTGACACAGAACCTTCCGTGCTTTTTTGGCCTAAGGCTCAGTAAGGGTGGCTCTTTTTGTATTGTCAGTGAGTTGTGCCCCATGTCAGAGAGCTTACAGCTGAGGCAGACGTCTGCTTGTGAACTCCACCCAAAGGGGGTGCTCAGAGACCAGGCCACCACGTCCTGGAGGTCCCAGGGAGTGCTGTGTGCCAAGTGGGCAGCTAAGGGACACCGGCTATGTGGCACCGGCTGAGCTCGTTGGGCACAGCTGAGAGCTGAGCCAGCGGTACCCTTCCATAGGTCTCTGAGTGTGGCTGGGCCGCCAGACGGGCCCCAAACCTCCACAGCCTATACACCATCTGCAGGAACATGCACTCCTGGCTGCGACAGGACCACAGGAACATCTGTGTCGTGCATTGCGTGGTGAGTGCACGATGGCCCTGTAGCCACTCAGCCTGGGTGGGGACGTTGTCAAATGGGGCCAGGTAGAGGGAACCATTGCTAGAGCAGATTCTAGCTTGGGTGTATGAACCACTGGGGAGTTGCTGTCCCTGGGGGCCAGGAGCTGCCTTGGCTGTGACCCACTGGCCATGTGTTGCATGGGGACTGAGACCTGGCTCCCCCACCGCCAGGCAGATGAGCCCCTGCCTCTGGTTTTCTGTCTGCAGAGGACAGGGGTCTATGAGGCCTGTTCCGGCAGCTTAGCCACTGCTGTGGGCAGTATTGGTGGAAGCCATTCAGGGAGGTCTAGGTCACCTGGCTGGGCCAGTGCTGAGCCACTGGGGTAGACAGTGATGCTGCCCAGCCCTGCGCTGTGGTAAGGAACCCTCATTTTCTGCTGGGCTATGAGTCGTGTGGCACCAGGTATGGGGTGAGTTCCTGAGTGTACCCCAGACCGCAGAGGTGCAGTGCATCCTCTCTGTAGCCTGTGGTGGTGGGGCTTCTGTAGGAACTGCACCCCTGTCCTATACATGTGTGGCCAGGATGAAGGAGCCCTGTGTCCCTCTGTCCTAGGATGGGAGAGCTGCGTCTGCTGTGGTCGTCTGTGCCTTCTTGTGCTTCTGCCGCCTCTTCAGCACCGCCGAGGCCGCTGTGTACATGTTCAGCATGAAGCGCTGTCCACCGGGCATTTGGCCGTCCCATAAAAGGTACCAGGGTGGGGACAGTGATGCCTGGCTCTGTGGGCCCTGAGATGGTGCTGCCCTTGCTACATTTGTTTGCCAACCCTTCCTCTGAAAGAGCAGCTGGGTCAGCACCACTCTGAGTGCCAGCTCAGCAGCACATGGGCACCAGTGTGAACGGGCTGCATTAGACGTGCCAGTACACATCCTGGGCAGTGGGTCTTCCTGCAGGAATGGGGTCTCATGTGGCCCCACTCACCAAGCCAGCTCTTCCCTCTGATGCCCTTGTGCATCTTCCTCCCTGCTGAGAGGGGCTCTTTCCTTGCTGTGTAAAGACATTGGCTTCTCAGTGATGTGCCTGGCTTCTCCCAGAGGTGCTGTCTTCTCCAACTTCACCTACCCACCTCCATACCTGCTCTGCAGCAACAGGGGCCTTTGGCTATCCAATAGGTGGAGCCACTGCCTGGCATAAATGCTCCCTTGATGAGCTTGGTCTTGATGAGAACCTAGGGACCTGGACAGATTCATCCCTCCGTGGGAATGGGCCTCGGCATGGTCAGCAGAGGCTCCCAAGGGTGGGTGGCATAAGGAGCGGAAGCTGATGTGGTATTGCTACAGGGAGATGGGGCCCAGCGTCATTTGTCTGCATGGCCTGTGGGCGGTGGGCATTGGTGGGTGCTGTCTCACAGCTCACAAGCAGGAAAGGGGTACCTTGTTTACTCATTGCCAGAGCAGAGCAGCGCAGTTGTGACAGGCCCTGGGCTAGGACGGGCCTCAGCACGGGAGTCCAGCCACATGTGCCCTGTGTCCCACCTGTGTCCAGGAGTTGGGACAGGGAGGGCTTCCGGGTCCCCCCAGGACCCCTGCCCCTCAGGGGCGGAGATGTGACAGCCAGCTGGACCTACTTTATACTCGTTGCGTCCAGACTCCTTGACACAGCCCTTGAGGCACCCCAGACACTCACCGTGGGCACACATGACTGGACACGGGGATGAGGCCGAGCCTTGGGGTTGAGGCATGGGAGCGTCTGCACCTCTTGAAGGCCCCTCAGTGTCCACAACAGACCAGGAGAGGCAGAGGGAGACACAGGTCCCATCTGATCCTTTGCCCCTCAGGAGCAAGGGCGACTGAGCAGTACGTGGGAGCTGCGAGGGAAACCTGGTTGCGCCCATGGACCTAGCACAGAAGGGTTGAGATGCAAGATCCAGCAGTGATGTCAGAGGGGAAGACGGTGCAGCAGTAGAGGGAGAAGCCCTGGACAGCTGTAAATTGGCTCTGCCCAGCTGCAGAACCAGCTACACGTGGAGACAGTGGAGTCAGAGTCAGCCAAAGATCAGAGACCCCAGCTCTGCCAGGCCCTTGCAGAGGTCAGGACGTGCACATGTGCCATTCCAGAGTGGGGTGGGAATAGTGGAGAAGTGTTGGAGTTTCTCAAGTTCACACCCAGCACCCAGGAAGTGTGAGATACCAAGACCGACATGAGGGAAACGTGCCTGCTGAGCGGGTGTGGCGAAGGAAGCCAGCGGGGTGATTATCGGGCTGTGTGAGGGAAGGGCCAGCTGTGCCACTTCTGCAAGAGGAGACTTGGACATCACAGTGGAGGTGGCAGCAGTGCAGACAGACAGAGTGCCAGTGCCGGTCCTGCCAGGTTGTACAGGCTGGGGCGACTGACTGGGCCTGACGTGGCCCCACTCACCAGGCCAGCTCTGCCCACCGATGCCCTCCCTGCTGAGAGGGGCTCTTTCCCTGCTGTGTAAAGGCAGTGGATTCTCAATGACGTGCCTGGTGTGATCCCTCTCTGGCTGGGCCCTCCTGGAGGCTTGATCTCTGACCCCCGGATGCCTCTGTCTGTCGTTGGACTCACTGTCTGGGCTTACAAGACATGAGCAGTGTTTATTTGTTTCTGGCAGGAGAACCTCACATCCTGGCTTTGTGCTGATTGCCTGCTGGGCAGACTCAAGTCCTTAGGACTACCGCAGTGTCCCGTCTCACAGAGGAGCTTGCAGGAGGGTGACACGTCTCCCCCGTCCCCCCTGCCCACAGCTGCTTCTCCCAGACCCCCACAGAAGGAAACCCCACAGTGGGAAACAGGCACAGGGTGCCTCAGAAACTCCCCAAAGGAAAGTCAGAGAAGCTGCCTCACCAAGGACACAGAGAATGTGTGGTAGTGTAGACCTCAGCATTCTCGTGATCCATAGAGGAAGTGGCCAGCACCCTACCTGATGTCTGTGGTATTCTAACAAGAGAAGTGCTCACCTTTCTTTCGAGTAACAGGCAGACATCTAGGAAAATGCCTAAATATTTCAGAACTAAACACCTCAATAACCTGTGAGTCAAAGAGGACGTCTCAAGGGAAATTTTAAAAAATATTTTGAATTGAATGAAAATTATAGCCTTGAATTTGTGAGAAGCTGCTAAAACGTTGCTTCAAGGGAATTGTGCAGCATTAAATATTTATATTTGAAAAGGAAAACATTCAGTGGTGTCGTGCCCTCGGGGACGCGTGACTAGGTGCACATCTGCTCCCAGGTACATCGAGTATGTGTGTGACATGGTGGCAGAGGAGCCCATCACGCCCCACAGCAAGCCGATGCTGGTGAAGGCCGTGGTCATGACCCCCGTGCCGCTCTTCAGCAAGCAGAGGAACGGCTGCAGGCCCTTCTGTGAGGTCTACGTGGGGGACGAGCGCGTGACCACCACGTCTCAGGAGTACGACCGGATGAAGTGAGTGCAGATGCTGGCATCTCCTTCTGAGTCCTGTGGGCACAGGAAGCCGTGTTGCATCCTGAGTCCTGAGAAGTGGGGCTTTGCATCAGGTGGGGTCCCCCACTCCAGGCGTACCGCTGAGGACAAGAGAAACCTGGGATGTGAGTAGTTGTTCAGTGCTCCAGATCTTGGAATTCTTGCTGTTGTTCATGAGCCATTTCTCATTCTATCCTAGGGAGTTTAAGATCGAGGACGGCAAAGCAGTCATCCCCTTGGGCATAACAGTTCAAGGCGACGTGCTCATTGTGATTTACCACGCCAGGTCCACCCTAGGTGGACGGCTGCAGGCCAAGGTGAGGCCACCTCCGCTGAGTGTGCCACCAGCTCCCTGGGTTCTCAGAGGCCTTGGTCAGGCAAGCCGTGTGGAGCTACAAGCTGTCCCCTGCACAGGTCCCGAGCGTTCCACATAGTAACAGCAGAAGGGATCATAGCCTCAGAGTCCAGAGGGTCCTGGGGCAGCACCATGGGGGCTGCTGGGCGTGGGGGCCCCACCATGCCGAGACACTGCTTCTGACCCCATCCCCAGCACCTGGTGCTTCTCTGTTCTCAGGCCTTCCACGGTACACAGAAGGGGTCATGAGACCCGGACCAGAGGCCTGTGCTCTTGGCCAGGTCATCTCTGTGACCCGAACCCCAGCCCCTTCTTGAGCCAGGCCCACTCTTTTCCAGATGGCATCCATGAAGATGTTCCAGATTCAATTCCACACTGGGTTCGTGCCTCGGAATGCAACTACTGTGAAGTTTGCAAAGTACGTGTGGGATGGTTTGGCGAAATCCGGCCCGTGTGTCAGTCTGTGGAAGGCTGTGGATGTGGCGATCAGTGTGTGGATGCTGCTCACACTGGACCAGGGGCCTGCCTGTCCTAGACGTTTGTTTCCAGGGCTCCTTGGGCCCCAGTGGTTTTGACTTTGCACCCGTGCCTTTGGCCTGAGCCGAGCCTTTTTCTTGAGACTTTAGCCACTCGTAGCTGGATGTGGGGTCACCTTGCATGAGGGTTCTCACTGCGCTCTCTGAGCACCGAGTGTGTGACTGCTCCGCCAGGGACTGAGGTCGGAGGTGCAGGGCTGGTCCTTGGACCTCAGAGACAGATGTGAAGCCACCGTGAGGAGCAGGCCTGAGTGCCGTGGCCCTCACCAGTCTCCGTTCTCTGGTGCAGGGATCGGCTCCGCTCTGGGAGCTGGCGTGGTGCCTGCAGCCTTGGGCAGCAGAAATATGTCCAGGCTTGGGCGTTAGGGTCTGGCTGGAGGATCTCCCCACACACTTGCAGTGTGCCTTTTGGGAGTGGGGCTGCGGCAGCTCCTCTTCCTGGGTGTCTGTTCTTGTTGTTTTTGGTAACTTTCTTTTAACCCAGGCTGTCTTGATTTTTCTCACTATAATGGAGGCATTCTTTTCAAAGTTCTTTTGGAGCCAGGGAGATAGTTCTGGCGTTGTGCTTTGTCCTGAGTTGGATCCCTAGAACCCACTAAAAAAAAAAAGGTTCTTTTAAAGACCAAATGACTAATGGTCAGGAGGAAAGCATAGGTGAAATCTCTACCTGATATGGATAGTGGGGTTAGTAAACGGTGCTATGAATACAATGGCTGTGGCCTGAACATCTCCCCTGATGGTGTGGTGTTCTCCCTGTCCTGAGCGAGGAGATGACTAAGGTTCATTTTGGCCCTGGGACAGGTCCCTGTCCACTGGGACTGTGGTCTTGTCAGAGGAGGAGGGACCGGGCCTCGATACCCAGGTCCACCTTTGCGCTCTGCAAGCCCCCAGCAGCCAGGACCCCTCACCAAGTAGCCACTGATCTTGAACCTCCCAGCCTCATAACTGTGAGCAGGATAAACCTTTATTCTCTATAAATCACCCATACCTCTGATGTGCTGTTATAAACAGCAGAAAACTGACCAAGACAGCATATTCAGAAAGATTGGGCAAGATAGGAAACCTAACCAGATCTGGACCGTACGGAAAGAGGCAGAACAGATACTTCACAGCTGAAATGAAGAATTCAGGAGGGGGTTTAGCAGCAGAGCAGGCAGTGAGTTGTAAGAGAATGTCCTTAGCTTGCAGCCCCAAAGAGGCTGTGGAGATGGAGACACCCGGACCGGTCTGGCGTGCTGTGTCTGAGGGGGAGAGAGAGTGCACAGGAATAGCTCAGACACAGGAGAATGGACACGGGGAATCGTTCCCAGACACTGTCAGCAGTGATGTCCTGCACCAGTACAACACTGGGCCATCCTTAGAAGCAGTACAAATGCTGTAGGCCTGTGTAGTAAGAAAACTTCAGTCGCAGACTCCCACCGAGTCGTGACCTTCAGACACACAAGGCTGACCCCTGTGATCTGCCGGCAGGGCAACATCTTACCAGCCCTGGAGGAAAGGTGTGGGGCTTCTGCATCCAGTGAAGCTATGTTCACCCAGAGCCGTGCAGGTACGTGCTCCAACCAGCCAAGGGAGGTGGCGGTGGCAGCGCTGGTGGCGGAGCCACTGCCTTTCAGTAAGCATTAGGGCGGCAGGGTACTCCAGAGGCCGGCCTGAGGTGGTGAGGAGGCTTGTGCTGGACTTAGGCTACAGTGTGAATGGCAGTACATTGTGAGTTTAGGACTTGCCAGCTACTCGCCTATTTTGCAGCTCCAGCAAGCTGAGAGTGCCCAGTGGGAGGTGCTGCTATAGCCAGGACCCTGGTGAAGGGCAGCACATCCTCACAGTGGCACGGTCCCAGTCCAGGCCTGCAAGGGTGTGAGCACAGGTCCTGGATAGGCTGTTCACGGAGGGCTGTGTGTGGTTGAGGCAATCCTGGAGTGTAGAGCCAGAGGACTGACCATGAGGAAGCAAGAGCGAATGCAGCCATGGCCCCTGGGCCTGTGCCTGAGCTCACCGTCCCTTCAGGACTGCTTGACAAACACATCTTGTGCCCGTGTTTGGACCACGTGTTAAAGGCTGGGTCTCCAGAGTGGCTCTCTGTGCGTTTCCCGGAGAGATGTGAGCAAAACACCTGCCTTCAAACTGCCAGGGCACTGATAGTCCAAGCTCACATCTCTCTGCTGCCCCAAACCCCAGTGAATCATTTACTCGCCGTGCTGGGCCTGTCCAGGCTGGGGTTTTAGGCAGCAGCACCACTGAAATTGACTCTCTTTGCTAAACTACTGGGTTTGCAGGGCTTGGATCACAACAGCAAAGCCAGAGGCCAAGACCAGCAGTCCAGAGATGCTGGGGGACAACCTTGCTGGACTGTGGCTGGCTCCACCAGGCCCACCGTTAGGATGCTTTTGGGAGAGGGGGCGCAGACTTCGAGAGGAAGCCTTGAGAGAGGTCGTGGTGCCCACCAGGAGATTGTTGGCCCTGGCCTTTTCACTCTCTCTCACTTCTTGGCCATGCAGTGCATAGTTTTCCTGCACCACAAGTGCCCACCATGTTGTGCTGTTTCATCACAGGCCCAGAGCAATAGGACCTGTTGGCCATGGATTGAAACCTCTGGAACTGACAGCCAGAGTAACCTTGCTGTCAAAGTCGACATGCAGGGGTTTGTTAGATTAAGGGAAAGCTGACACGTGCAGCCTAGGGCTCCAGAGCGTCAGGAACCCAGTTCTCACCTGGCTGAGATGTAGGTGGAATCTGTCTGCAGAGGGCCACCCTTGTTCTCAGCAGGCACCCCTGAGGCATCCTCACATGGCAGGGGCAGACCTCCCTGAGGCTCTTGTTCGTCAGAGCCCCATCAGAGAGAGGCAGGTGGAATGTTGGTGGCCATATGTTGTCTTGTACCTGTGCCAGTCCTTGGGGACTGGGCCACAGCAGGCTGGAGGCAGCCTGTGAGCAGCGAGAGCCAGGGTCTTCAGTGCTGAGGTTGGAATCAGGACCCCAGAGAGCATCTTTGTCGGCCAGCCAGGCATTTCAGGAGCCTCTCTGTGCCCTCGTGGAAACTAACTCCTCCACCTGCTCAGCCTCCAAGGTTATCAGCCATGTCCTCCCTGCTCACAGACCCCCATTGTTCCCTCACTTCCCTTTAGGCTAAGGGCAGTCTCCAGGTCCAGCCAGACTGCGGGCCGGGTGGGGGCAGTGCCCAGCCGTGCCGCTCCCTGACCCAGGCCGAGCCTGGGTGGCCCACCTGCCTGGTGCCTCCACCTTCCTCCATTGCTGTAGCTGCAGCTCCACGTTAGTTGTGCTCACTCTCAGTGGCTCGGGCTGGAGAACCAAGGGCCCCTGGCCAGAGGCCTCAGCGAGGAGGCCTGTCACATGGCGTCTGCCTCCTGTGTGCAGGAGTGGTGTCCAGCCTGGAGGAGGCTGGGGCAATGTGTCTCACCACCTGTCTGTTGTATCTGAGGGAGAGTGCCATCTGCTGTCACTTTGCCCCTCTAAATGTACCTTCACTACTGTCCTGGGGTTGGTGACCAGGGACTCACGGTACTCAGAGGAGCCCATAGGCCCCCTCAGCATCTGGGCTGGGAATGGTTTGCCACTTTTTTGTGTTTGGTGTTGGGATTTTTTTTTTCTTATATAAAACTTAAGAATAACATGTAGTGACTTTCAGGTGGCAGGTGGGAACACAGGCTATGGCTTACAGTGCTGCAGAGCCAACTGTTTGGATAATGCATGAAATGGCTGATGTCACCACCTGCAGGGCCTGCTTGTGAAGGGGTGGGGACTGGGGGCCCTGCTGTGCCCCTGCCTGTCCACCCGTTTCCCACAGTCCAGGCAGGGTGGACACAGAGGTGAGCCTCCTCCCCAGCCTCATATCCATCTTGCACGAGATCCCAGAGGCTTGTTTCTTGTAGCCGTCTGTTGATGGTTAGGGGTTTCTCAAGAGGTATTACTGTGTTTATGGGAAAAGCACATAAGGTCCCATAGCGCCTAATCTGACCCAGCTAACGTGTGCAGATGGAGGACAAGGCACAACTATTCTGGGTTGCCTCCCCTTGTGAACTCGCCAACCTGGCACAAGTTTGTCCTCTAGTAACTTTGGAGCACCTGTCCCCTCACGGACTCAGGGGTCCTGGGCCCAGCCCAGTCCTCTTCCGTGATGACAGCCCGGGAGCCAGCCCTTCCCAGGCAAATGTGCCACTTAGGGTAGCCCCTTGGTGGGCGCTGAAGGATGAGTGAGCATCTGGCAGGCAGTCCTGATGTGTCTGTGGGACCTGCAGGTATGACTTGGATGCATGTGACATTCAGGAGAAGTACCCGGATCTGTTCCAAGTGAACCTGGAGGTGGAGGTGGAGCCCAGGGACAGGCTGTGTCGGGAGGCCCCACCTTGGGACAACGCCAGCATGAGGGGGCTGAACCCCAAGATCCTGTTTTCCAGCCGCGAGGAGCAACAGGACATCCTGTCTAAGTTTGGTAAGGTCACAGAGGCATATCGACATGTACCCTGGGCCCACCTGCAGGTAGCCTGGTTGTGGCCCCTGTCGTTGTTGGGAGGAGCCTATGAGATGCTGAACTTGGCCCTACCTGGGCAGCACCCACCCTGTCTGCAGCCCTGACCCTGGCACTAGGCCCAGGCTGGAGCTAGGAGGTGGCAGGAATTCCCTCCAGCTTTCCTTCAAGCTGAGCTTAGGGAAGGGGGCCGTAGCATCCCTCCAGCCAAACCCCAGGCCATCCCTGATCCTGCCTCCCCGGGGAAGGTCTTGTCCTCTGGGGCAGAGTAGACCCCATTCTCCAGAGCAAGGAGGAATTGCTTTGCAAGCACTTTGGCCCCGGAGCTGCCGCTGGGGTCATGGGCCAGGCTGCAACCCACCCACCACCAGGGGCTCAGTTTGCGCCACTTGCTGCCTAGTGACCTTGAAGAAGGGAAACTTTGCCTGGGGACCTGTGGCTTTTGGTGGTGGCTCAGCACGGGGACCTCCTCGGTTCAGAGCAACTCCACAAAATAATAAAATAATAGAGCCCCCGGGGCAGGCAGGGCTGCCAGGGTCTGATTTGTGTTTCTCCTGTCATCTTATCTGAGAATGGTTCGGAATCCCTGGGAGCCGCACGCATGCCTCTGTGTGCCTGAGCATGTGGCGTGTGGCATGTGTGTGTGCCCAGGCCGTGTCTGGACCCTGCCATCCCCGTGTCCTGGCTGTGTCTGTGGCCCGGCTCCCCTGCCATCTCTGACGGGGCCTCGCCCCAGCTCAGGCACCTGCACAGCTGGCTAACGCCAGCCCTCTCCTGGCAGGGAAGCCAGAGCTGCCCCGGCAGCCGGGCTCCACGGCTCAGTATGACGCCGAGGTGGAGCCTCCGGAGGCTGAGCCCACGGACTCGGACTCGCCGCAGAGCAGCAGCACAGATGCAAACCACTTCCTCCACACGCTGGACTGGCAGGGTAGGCGCAGGGTGCGACCTGCTCTCCACCCTTGCGTGGGTCTGTCTGCCATGTGGCCCCTACCACCTGTTCGGGTCTGAGGCTCTGCCCACACGGTGTGGCATCCGCAGTGGTCTGCAGTGGGGTGTGGATGCCTGGGGTCCCCTGTGCCAGCCAGTTTTGAATGGCTCATACATACACTGAGAACTGTTTCTGTGTTTTTAAAAAATTGAATTAAAAAAAAACTCCTCCAAGGCTATAGTGCCAGCTCCAGCCCTCCTGAGGTGTTTGTGGCCAAGCCCTCTGCACAGGCCCTGCCCTGGGCACTTGGTGCAGGAGGGGCTGAGCGGAGGACAGCTGAGTGGGGTGCCGTGTCCTCCCCGACTCATTGCCCTCACCCCCACCAGGCTCCCTGCCCTCCCAGCCCCTCTTGGCCTACTTGCTCAACTAAACACCTAGGAGCCACCACTCTGGCTTCAAACCCCAGGGATGGACACACGCACACCGTCATCCCAGGGGGCTCAGCCGGCCACCCTCGAGGGCTGCTGGTTGTGTCCCCACTGGCTGAGTCTGAGTCCCCACAGAGGTGCATGAACGGCCCTGGAGAGGGGAGTGCCCCACACTGGGGCTCAGCAAGGGTTTGAAGGGAAGCCTGGAACCTGCTGGAGGCACTGGGCGGCTGTGGGGCTCGGGCTTTGGAACATGTGCTGTGTCTACCCCAGAACGGCCTCCAGGTGGGCGTGGGGACCCTGTTGAGGCTGCAGCCTGCGGCAGCCACCCCATATGTCACCCTGTCCGGGCCTCGTCTGGCCATGCCAGCCTGTGACACTGTTGACCTGCTGTCTTTTCTTTTCACAGAAGAGAAAGAAACAGAGACTGGTGTAGAAGGGCCTTCCTCTCAGGAGAGCCAGGCTGTGCTGACTGCAGAGGGAGATGAAGGTGAAGCATCGGATGAAGAGGCGTCCTCGGCCCCTGGCGGAGATGCCCAGCCTGGTGCCAGGGAGGACCTGCCGGGCCCCATGGCAGGCACCCAGCAGCAAGACCTGATGCTTGGTGCAGCCGTGCCGGACTTGCCACAGGAGTCCAGGCTGAAGGAAGATGGCGTCGACCTCCTGGGCCTGCACACCGAGGCCACCCCGGGACCAGCAGCCTCGGCACAGGCCTGCAGGGCCCCCTCCAGCAACGCCGACCTGCTCAGTTGCTTCCTGGGGTCACCCGACTCCACTCTAGAGGGGCCACCCAATGACCTGCTGGGCGGCGAAGCGCGCCCCCTGCTCCTGGCAAGCGCAGACCCTCTGAGTGCACAGAGCACCCCACGAGGAGCGCCCCCTGCCACAGGTATGCCCCATTTCCCGAGTGAATGCAGCTGGGCTCCCAGGGAAAGGAGCCGTCTTGGAGAAGCCATCCTGGCTGCAGGGTGCCGGCCCCTGCTTGCTCGCGTGCGTGCCCACCCAGTTCATGCCTCTGGCTGCCAGCTCTTTCCTCATGGGCCTGGCAGCATCTGTTACGTGTTTGTCTCGAGCTGCTGGGTGTTGGAGGGCAGGTGTCTGGGTCCCTCCTGGACAGCGAATGCCCAGGGGAGGCAGCCAGCAGTCTGGGCCCGGGGCAGTGGCTCTGGCTGTGCTTGCAGAGCAGCAGGTGCCCCTCGTCAGTACTTGGCCCTGTCTACCGTCTCCACAGCTGACCCGTTCGACCCGCTGCTGCTGGCTCCCGATGCCAGCCCCCAGCCCTGTACCCAGCCTGACCTCTTTGGCGAGTTCCTGCATGCGGACCCTGTGGCAGCCCCAGCAGCCTTCCCCTACACCAGTAGCGCCCCACCGCCATCTTGCACTGCCTTCCTGCCCTTGGGTGAGTAATTACGGCGGGCTGCACCCCAGAACCCATAGTTGCAGTGTTGGTTGGAACTTCCTATTTCACACAGTGCCTTCCAGCTCCGGGGTGCCAAGCAGGCACTCACAAGGTCAGGACACTGAACCTTCCACAGGTTTTCCTTGGGCCCAGAACTGTAGCCATGAAAGGCCGGCTTGCTTTGCCTGAAGCATTTGCTGGGTGAAGAGGCCAGGAGGTGGGAGACTGGCCCGGAACAGAGTCTAGGAAGCTGGGGCTGGGGAGAGGCAGTGGGAGGCTGAAGACTGGTGTGCTAGGTGGAGAAAGCCAAGCCCTGGGTCAGTGGCGTGGTGCCCGGAGGAGGGCTGGCTGTCCCTGGTGTGGCCCTGGCGAGGGTACTCGGGTCGTCCTCAGCCAGAGTGCCTGTCTAGTGGGCTTGGGGTGAGGACCAACTGGTGAGGACAGGATGAGCTGCACACATTTGTACTGGGGACACCCATGTGTCTGCTGTGGGCCCTGGGGGGCTGGGGTGCCGTGGGAAGGAGGTCCTGAGGCTCTTGGAGCCACTGCCAGGCAGCACACCAGGTGTCATTCTTGTGGCTGCCCTGTGAGGTGCCCTGCCAGAACCCTGCAGTCCTATTGGTTATCTCGGTGGCCACTGCCCATCAGGCAGTGGCGTCAGTTGGGGAGGGCAGAGCTCAGCCTCCACTCGGAGTGTCAGTTGCTCCCCAGCACAGCTCCCTTGGCCCTCTGGGCTGTGGGCCCCTACTCAGCCTCCTGCTTACACAGGAGGGGATGAGTGACGGGCAGCAGGGCCTGCGGGGGCTACAGTCATGCGTTCTGGGCCACCTCTTCCAGGAGACCTGCCCACGGAGCCCAAAGCAGTGACGGCCTCTTCCAGCCACCCGGACCTGCTGGGGACATGGGACACCTGGGCTGAGGCTGCTGTGCCTGGGCCAGCCTCAGAAGGTAGGGTGCCAGGGCATAGGTCATATGAGTGACAGTGCCCTCCTCCCAGAGAGGCCACCTGCCCTCCCGTGAGTGGTCATTTTGTGGTGCACTTGGTGGCTGCAGCACGTTCTCGATGGCGACATGGCTGTGGGTGCTGCAGCCTTGTCTGCGGGGGCGAATGGAGGTCTGAGGCTGCCATACACCTCTGTGCCCTGGTGCTGTGTGCCCTGGCGAGGCCCTCTGTACGCCGGTTGCTTTCCCACCCAACACAGGGCATGTTGGTCAGCTCTTTCCCAGCAGTCTCTCCGAGCAGTCCTCACCCCCAGTTTCTCATGCAGTTTGATGAGGATTTTTTTTTAATTTTTTTTTTGTACCGGGGATTGAACTTGGGTCCTTGTGCTTGTGAGGCAGGCTGCAGAACCACTGAGCTAAATCGGCGGCTTCAGTGAGGATTTTAAAGATGTCGTCTTACCAGTTTAGCAGGCCGCTGGTGCTTTTGACTAGCATTTCTTTGTTACATTTTTGAGATTTCCATCTGTAAGAATTATTCTTTTATTTTTCCAGTACTGGGAATCGAACTCTGGACCTTTCGCTTGCAAGGCAGGCATGTTGCCACTGAGCTAAGTCCCCAGCCCTAGCATTTCTTCATTACAGATCAAGCTGACTTTTCATGTTTCTAGTTATTTGCATTTCTTTCGAAAATTACTGCACTGTTTTTTGCTCCCTTTTCACATAGGGTATTCTTATTTTTCTTATTGATTTGTGAAAGCTCTCTGCATGTGAATAATCATCTTTTTTTTTTTTTTTTTTTTTTTTTTAATAGAGCTACATCCCCAACCCCTTTTAATATTTATTTTGAGACAGGGTCTTGTTAAGCATCTGAGTTGCTCAAGTAGGGCTTGAACTTGTGATCCTCCTGCCTCAGCCTCCCAGAATTCTGGGATTAGAGATGTGTGGCACCACACCTGGGTGAGTAGCCATCTTTTTTTTTTTTTTTTTTGGTTCTGGAGATTGAACTTGGTCCTTGAGCTTGTGAGGCAGCCAGTGGAACCACTGAACTAAATCCCCAGCCCATCCATCATAATATTTCATCAAGGAACAACACAACTTAGATGTTCTCACATTTACAATACAATAAGGCACATCATGGATCCTCGCTTTTCGTTTATTTATTGTTTTGGGTTTTTGAGGCAAGGTCTCCCTGTCCTGAACTCACTATGTAGCCCAGGCTGGCCTTGAACTCACATTGATCCTCTTGTCTCAGTCTCCCGAGCTGGGATTATGGGTGTGCGCCACCACACCTGGCTCGATATTCGCTTTTTAGATAGATCCCAGCAGTGGTGCCACACTGTTGGAGTGACGTGGACATTTAGCGGTCCGGCATGGGCATGTTCCACTGGGCGGTGGTTCTGTGCTGGTGCCCCCATCCTCATTCTGATCCCCAAAGGCCTTGGAGGGTTTTTTCGCTGTCTGACGCCCACCACCCTTCTCCAGGGCCCCTCTTCCCTCCTGGAGCTCAGCCAGCCACTGCTGGCCCCCAGCCCAGCCAGACCAAGTCTCAGAGCCTGGACCCATTTGCCGACCTTGGTGACCTCCGTGACCTTAGCTCTGGCCTCCCAGGTAAGCTGAGGGCAGGCCCTGAGTGCCTGACAACTGTGCCCGACAGCTGTGTCTGCTGCCTTCACCTGCCAGGTGTCTTTTGTGCACTCTTCTTTTTTTTGAGACAGGGTCTTGCTACATAGTCCATGCTGGCCTTTAACTCACTATGTAGCTCGGGCTGGCCTCTAGATCACAGCAATCCTCCTGCATCAGCCTCCCAGATGCTGGGATTACAGGCATGCGCCACTGTGCTTGGCACTCTTAACCTTGACTGTTGGCCGGCATATGGAGCCCCAGGTCGGAGACCATGGGTGCGAGCCCCGTCTGGCCAGGTGGCTGGCTGTCTTTCTCTGTAGCAGCTGGTGGCTGTGCTGGGTACTGACACCCCATCTCTGGAGTTCCCTGTTGGTCCCGGTCTCCCTGACCTGTGAATCCTGGGCAGCAGTGTGGTTTCCAGTGCTGGCCTCAGCTGTGCCTCCTCATCTCCTGGCCTTACCCTGCTGCTGTTCTGTCGTTCCATCCCAGGACTTTTGTCCTTTAAATACTTTATTTTTTAGAAAGCGGTGTGCTAGTCTCTGAATTCACCTGTCCCTCTGGGGCCTGCGAACGGGCTTCCCCTGTGTCTTTGTCTTTCCCACCCAGGTGCTCTTGACACAGGGGGGCTGCAGTAATCTTCTGGGGCTTTGGGTGCTGCGGATGTCGGGAGAGGGCAGGCAGAATGCGGAGGACATGGCCCCCTTGAGTCCGAAAGGCTAAGACAGCCCAGTGAAGGATAGGACAGACGGGCACAGCACAGGCAGCAACACAGGTCCCTTCCCTGTCCCTGTGCGCCTCCCTCGGACCTGAAATCACGGTGCTCTCTGACCCTTGTGATGGCCATGCTGGAGCTGGAGATCACTGACAACAGGATAACAGCCACGTCACACTGGAGACAGAGCAGCCCTGGCAGAGGACACCTGTGTGAAGGGACCGGCAGACAGAGCAAGATGAGGGCCAGAAGCAGCACAGCTGAGCCACCCCAGAGGGGACGTGCAAAGTGTCTCACCAGCAACCCAAGCTCTCACCTGGAAAATCTGACAAAGAAATGCAAGACAAACCCAAAGCAAAGAAAAGGAAAAGAACGATTTAAAAAATCGAAAGAAACCTTTGTTCTTTGGAAGGATGGATAGAATTTATAAACCTCTACTGAGACCGGCAGAAATTGAAAGACAGCCACCACCACCAGGTCCCACACAGAGCCCAGCAAGCCAGCAGTGAGGGGGATATCCTTCCCTTGGGAACACGCAGGGTGGGACACTCCACAGTCAGGAGTATGGCAGCACATCCTGCACCCTACTGCTGTACACCAGGAGACCCAGCTGCCAGGAAATCACAGCAGAAAGCAGCCTAGGAGGCCGTGTGAGAGGCGTGAGAGATGGAAAGCCTCCTGGATCCCAGCACCAGGAGTTTTAGGGAAGCCATCTTCCCACACATGTGGGGATGTAAAATGGCACAGCCACTCTTGGTCAGCTTCTTGCAAAACTAAACTGTAACTAGCAAGCCTCCCTGCCAGTTATCCAGAAAAAAAAAATCCACAGTGGCCTCTTCCAGAGTGCTTTTCGTGCCAGTGGCAACAGGATTGTGAGGTGTCCTTCCATGCCAGGAAGCACCCCTTACCAGCGGCAGCTGACCGATCGTCTCTGGGGATGCAGAGGTCCTGGGTTGGTTCCATCTCTAGAATGTTCTCAGTGTGATGGAACTGTCAAGGGAGCTCAGGGCCAGCTCAAGTGTCTGTGTGTTTCCAGGCCCAGCAGCAGTTGCCCTGTCTGCACGGCTGCTGCGTGACACGTAGCCTGAGTGTGATGTCTTCTCCCCAGGCCCGGCTGCCGGACCCCCACCGGGGGGCTTTGTTCCCAAAGCAGCCCCTTCCACCAAAGGCGGTAGTTCCTGGCAGACGAATCGACCACCAGGCCAGGGCACCTCATGGCCCCCCCAGATCAAGGTGCCCCCCAAAACCTGTACACCACAGAGGCCGAGCTACGCCACAAACTTCAGCGTGATCGGGGACCGGGAGGAGAGGGGCGTCCGCGTGCCCAGCTTTGGTGAGTCCCACCCATCTGAGGTGTGCAGGGCGCTCCATGGGGCCGCCCTAGGGGACGCGTCTGCTGGCACCGCAGTCCTCCACCCAGCATCAGTTCATCTTCTGGGTTTGGCAGAGGGCATTTGGGGCCACAGTGTTTTCCTGTCCCTTTTCTGTGGAGGCCCCTGGTCATTGTCCTGGCCCGGAGCAGGTGGGACTGGGCCATTGTCTCTGCAAAGCTCCTGTTCTCTTCCAGCCCCAAAGCCAAAGGTCTCAGAGAACGACTTTGAAGATCTGCTGCCCAACCAAGGCTTCTCCAGGTCTGACAAGAAGGGGCCAAAGACCATGGCGGAGATGAGGAAGCAGGAACTCGCCCGAGACACGGACCCCCTCAAGCTGAAGGTGGGCAGGACGGGAGTGGGTCAGACTTGCACCCCTCTCGTGTAGGAGATCTGCATCCACTCACCAAAGGGGCGGCATCACCACCTTAGTCTTCTCTCCAGGCCTGGGACGCTGTGTGGATTGGCAGACGCAGCGTGGTCCCGCAGTCAGTCTCACTGTGGGTCTTGAGGAGCATCCTCGTGTGCCGGTGTGGGTGGTGGTGGGAAGCAGGGTGTGAGTTCTGACCGGCCAGGGAGCCCACTCATTTCCCTTGGCTGGGATGGCTGTGCTGAGGGGCCAGTTTGTGTCCTGTGAGCGTCTGGTGAAGATGGGTCCATTGGTCTTGGCTGTGGCACAGCTGGTCCCAGGACGCTGCAGCTTGAACCTGCCCGTGTGGCGGTAGGCGCCAAGGGCAGGAGTGGAGCACTGAGATGGGGCCCTGCCGGGTGGGAGGGGGGGGCCAGTGTGTGGAGGTCCCAAGCTGTCCCCAAGGAGCTGCCACAGAACCTGCTCTCAGGGCCTGAGGGTGGTGGCTGCTGCCTGATTTTCCCCGACAGGAGGGAGGACGGTGCCCCATGGGCCGGGGCTCAGCATGTGCAGTGTCTCCCGCAGCTCCTGGACTGGATTGACGGCAAGGAGAGGAATATCCGTGCCCTGCTCTCCACGTTGCACACAGTGCTATGGGACGGGGAGCACCGCTGGACACCTGTGAGCATGGCTGACCTGGTGACCCCGGGGCAGGTGAAGAAACAGTACCGCCGAGCAGTGCTGGTCGTGCACCCTGACAAGGTGAGCAGCCTCAGCGGGCACGGGCGGTGCTGGGCGGGGCAGGTGCTCACTACCTCTTGCCACCCGCAGGCCACAGGGCAGCCCTACGAGCAGTACGCCAAGATGATCTTCATGGAGCTCAGTGACGCCTGGTCTGAGTTTGAGAACCAGGGCTCGCGTCCCCTCTTCTGAGGCCTGGGGGCGGCTGTGCAAGTGCTCATGAGACCAAGGTGGGGTCCTGGCAGAGGCGGCCCTGCTGCGGCCCGGCCCTAGCAGCCCCAACTGGCTGCTCGCCGCTGGCTTGTATGGGTCCTGTGCAGATCCCTCCCACAGCGCAGGCCAGGAAAACATTCCAAAGCTGATTTTTGTCGTTCCATTTTTGTTCTTGTCCTAGAGGAACAGTGTAGATTTGTGTCGCATTCGTGATTCTTCCCATGTCTGGTGGCTGTCCCTCTCCAGCACGCTGTCGACTGCGTGTTGCACTGTCACTTCCCAGGCCGGAGTGTCCATCCCGCTGTGTAATCAGTCTGATGATCGTCTGTACATAATTAAACTTTTTCTGACGACGCTGTGGTCTCCAGCCTGGCGGGGGCCTTGCCAGGCCATCATCTGTTTCCTCAGCCTCTCACCCACTACTGGACTGTTGGATTTGGACCCCGACCTGCAGCTGGGGCAGACACCAGCGCGGCCAGCGGTGACCCCATCCTTTGTCTGAGTGCTGTGATGTGTTCCAGAGACGAAGCAGAAGGGAGCCTGGGCCGGGCACGGAGTCCCCTCTGCACAGCCTTACCCACCTTCCTCGGAGTCACTCCTCACTGTCTTCCCAAGTTCAGGATCCACCTCCCGCCCACCTTGGGCTGCAGAGTTGGCACTCAAGTCGCTGCCTGGACACCTGCTCTGCTGGCCGCATCTGAGCCCACTCAGGCCTCCAGGGTGACCTCAGGCCGTCAGTGCAGTCCCAGAGGTCACAGGGAGCGTGGGGAAGGCTTTGGGTACCCGTGTGCTGTTCAAAGGGCACAGTATCCAGAGCAGCCTGGGCTTTGTTCCCATGGTGCCGTGAGACTGAAGAAAGAGGCAGACAGGTCTGGGGTCACACGGTGCTGGTGGCAGCAATATCAGAGGACCCTGCTGTGTGGGTCAAGAGGAGGGAGCATCTACTGGTCAGGACAAGTGACTCCCTCTTAAGTCTTAAGATGCACCAGGTTCATCTGAAGCTAGCATCAGTCGGCTCACTCCTAGCCCTGGGTCCAGGTTTAAAGCCCCACACAGGGCTCTGAGGGTTTGGTCCATTTGTACTTTGCTGGGAAACCATTCAGGGGACACCCTGCCATGTCTCTCAGGGCTGTCACTGAGCCCGAGTCCTTCAAGGCCTAGTTGTACTGCCCACAGGCTGCCCAGGTGGCCTGCAGAGTGGGCTGGGCTTTTGGATTTTGTTGCTCAGGAGATTAAAACCCCTCGTTATCAGCAGTTCTCATGGCTATGGGCAGTGAGGACCACACCCTTGGGGCGGTGACTGGTGTCAGGACTGCATTTCAGTGTCCTACGTGTTTGTGGGTCCTGATGTCCACTCCAGCTGTCCACCTACCACCACCCTGGCCAGGGCCCCTACACTGGTGTCCGAGGCCCTGAGCATCAGCATGTGGCCTCTTTCTCCAAAACATGAGTCATTGAATCCATTGAGGTACCCTGTGGACCTGGGACAGGACTGCTGCCCAGGACTACCCTCCCTGAGGCCTGTGTCAACTGCCTGTGTGAGGGGCAGAGAGGAGAGCGTGTCAGGAACCACTAGCACAAGCTCTTGGGGAAGGCTGTGCTCAGAAGGCCTCTGGGACCCTGGACCAGGAACCTCAGATCTGCATGTGGGGCCTGCTGAGATGTCCGGAGAGAGGCCTTGGGCCACAAGGGGGCAGCATGGGGTCTGGTTCTTGTCTGGGCTGTGGCCCGGGGAGGCAGGGGCCCGAGTCACCACCAAGAGGAGGACACTGTAGGGAGCCCAGTGATGTCCTTTGGAGCCTGGAGGTTTCTGCATCCTCTGCCTGGACACCCCTGGTGGCCCTGGGCATGTGGCCACCTCAGACACTCAGAACCCCGTGGCCCAACCGCAGCAGCCTGATTCTCGCTGGCGCGCCAGCTCCCGGAACAGCGACTCCCATTTGTTAGGCACAGCTGCTATTTTTAGTGTTCGGCTCTTTTAAAGAATAATGAGCAACCTAAATAGGTGCCGAGACTCTCACATCAGAGTCATCTGGATCCGGGCGCCAGCCCAGCAGAGCCCGCAGTGCTGGGGAGGGTGGCACAGCCCAGACCTGCGGCAAGGGCTGGGACCTGGGGATCTGTGGGCCCACTGGTGGGACTGGGGCATCCCCCCAGGGTCTCCGGAACTGAGAAAGGGGGTGTCAGCCCCAGGCGCGGCCCTCCTGGCAGCTTACTTCTCTGCCCCTTGTCCGGACCCCGTGGTTGGCTGAGGCTGGCACCCTCCCATCAGTGCTGGCCCTCACTCCTCTGCCAGGCAGAGCCACATCTTGTCCGGACCCCGTGGTTGGCTGAGGCTGGCACCCTCCCATCAGTGCTGGCCCTCACTCCTCCTCTGCCAGGCAGAGCCACGGCCCTGTCCTGTGCCTTGGAACCCCTGGCTTGGTGTCAGCCAGGAGAGGAGGGTTCCTGGCTGCAGGACGGGACCAACATCCAGGCAGAATCGAGGCCTGGCCTCCCCCAGTGTCTTCTCCCCTGCTGCCAGCATGGACAACTCGCATCACAGCCCAGACCACTGTCATCCCCACTGGGGTCACTGGAGCAGTGCCTGGCTGTTCTCAAGACACAGGCCTGTGAGGTTCCACACACAGTGGACATCCACGCACAGGAACCAGGAAGACTTGCTGGTGCTGCCTCCGCAGACCATGTGGTCGACACGCAGCACCATGCCCACTCCCAGGACCAGGTGAGAGGCCAGCCGGTGATGTCAACTGGGAGAACCTAGCCCGCACACAGTGGTGCACCCATTTTGGAAAAGCATGGGTCTTCCTACAAGTAAACCCTGGATTTCCTGCACGACTGTGTCCCACATCAGTGCTTTCAAGAGCAGTGCTCACATGACGCACAAATGTCCACAGCTCAGTGGGCACCAGCTGGGTGGTGACGGCAGCAGAGGGGAGCCAGTAGGCCATGCAGCACCGGTTGACTGAAGGACCGTGCTCGGTGGAGGAAGCCACACCGAGAGAATGGCGTGTCGTGGGAGTGGGAGCCAGTGCACAGGACAGGTGGTGGCAGTGCCTGCTTGGATCCAGCTCTTCAGGCGGAGCCCCAGTGCATCTGCAAGGTGCCCGTCCTGTACTGCTTCCTGGTCCCCTGCGCAGCCACGACCCCAGGGAGAGGGGAAAAGAGCTGGGCACAGGCAGTCTGGGAAGGTATCTGAGGGCCTGTCCTAGGGTATGGGGCGGTCCCATTGTCTGCCCTCAAGACTCCCTGCCCTTGCTGGCACCTGGCACCTGGCACGTAGCTGTGAGGTGGCCGCTGTTTCTGCTGGAGGGGAGCTGGCTGCAGAGCTCTGGTTGGCTACCTGACACCCTCTCCCACGTTCCTGGGAACAACCTGGAGCCCCCAGCACTCTCCCCAGTGCATGGCTGAATGAGGGGAACTCCCAGGCTTGAGGTGAGAACCCTACCTCTCACTGCAGCCCTGCTGGGACTTCGGGACTTGGCCTTCCTGTGTGTGAGCGGGCCCAGGCCCTGCACAGGAGTCAGAGGAAACGGGTCAGCTTGCTGAGGGGGAGCCACTGAGCTGTGTTTCAGGAGGTGGAAGGGCCGGCCAGGGTCCCAGACCCATACGAGGGAGTCTGCCCTTGGCCAGGCACCGAGGATGCACTGAGCTGCGCATCCATTCAACAGCCAGGGATTTAGTTTAGTGGTTCTTCCACCTGCTTCGTAAGCGCAAGGACCAGAGTTTGATCCCCAGTACCAAAAAAAAAAAAAAAAAAACATTAACAAATGCTGACCGACCTCTCACGAGAGCCCACCCTCACTCCTAGCTTGCGTGGGAGGACACTAAATGGCAAGTGAGTCGCTGGAGCTGTGCAAAGAGGGTCATGTCCAGGAGCAGTGGGAAGCTCAGGGCCACAGTACTGGTCTCTGCTCGAGTTCATTGACTGCAAAGCAAAAGAAGTGATCAGAAGCTGAATCCAAGAGACCCTGGCTCCTGGACTGAGTTCCACAGGGAGGAGACAAGGCCAGGCCAGGCTCATTGTCCGGGAGCCTTTCCTGCCTGCCTCCACTCCCACATCTCCCTGGGAGTGTGAGGCTGGAGGGAGTGCAGGAGCCCTGCTTTGTTCCCCTGTCCTGGCAGTGTCACAGCCCCCACCCACAGAGCTTCAAACTAGAGACACCAAAGTGCCCTCTCCACGCCTGCCCAGTTCTAAAATACTGGGGTCTGTGAGGAGGGGGCCCAGCCGGACCCCTTATCACAGCCACTGAACACTGCCCACCTGCTGCAGCTAGCTGTGCTGTAAAAACCCACAGCTGAAACTTCAGACTTCACCCCCAAACTGGATGGAGCAAATGGGGAGCCACCTTCCTTCCCAGTCCACCAGAAATGACAAAATAAGTAAAGCAGCTGTTCTGGACAGTGAGAGACAGGCACCAAAAAGAAAGGAGCGAACGGGCTGGCCATTTAGCTCAGTGGTTCTGGTGCCTGCTTCACAAGCTCAGGGACCGAGTTCAATCCCCGGTAAAAAAAAAAAAAAAGCAAACATGGGGAGTGTGGCAGTGTGGTCAAAGGTCAGGAGTTAGAGGCAAAACCCAGACAGGAAGGAGCCCCAGAAACCTCCCCAGGGCCCCATGATGTGGCTAAGCATGGAGACGTGCGTGTGTGCGCGACAGGAACCATGACAAACCAGGACAGAAAGGGTGGAAACGAGTTGGTGGGTCAAAGGGTCGTCTTCTCATTGTTAACTGTTACGTTTAAAGTAGCTGCTACAGCTAGAACAGTGCCTGTGAACGGTGAGGTTTATGAGACACAGAAGCAGGACAACACAGCGTTCCCTTTGCACAGGAAGTGGCCGTCACCCAACGGTCGGCGATTTAACACCGAGTACTGCAAACCCTGGTAGAGCCTTTGAAAAACAAAAACATGTCACTAATAATGGAATAAAACTATAAAATCCTGTAAAGTCGTCATCTAACCCAAAGAAGTCAGGAAAGAAAAGGGACAAGCAATACATTGAAGAAATTAAAAATAGACAAGTCCAATTAAATGTAAGACTATCAACTAAAAGGAAAAGATTTTCGGAATAGACGAAGAGCGGTGTGCAGCTGTTACTGTGTGTAAGAATCCGGTATAAGTATGAAGACAGGGTGCATTCATTCACCATGGCTAAACTGGAGTGGCCATAGTAATATCCCAAAGTAGACTTAAAACACAGTATTGGCAGAGAAAGAAGCATTTCACAATGATGCAGGGTTAAGTATATCAGGAAAATGTGATATTCCTAAATATGTATGTTCTTTGAAATATGTGAAGCAAAAACTGACAAAGCTTTAACGAGAAATAGGGGCCGGGGATTTAGCTCAGTGGTTCCACCGCCTGCCTCTCAAGCACAAGGACCCGAGTTTGATCTCTGGTACCAAAAAAATAAATGAAGAGCAATAGATAACAGTTGTAATTGACTACCTCTACACCCCTTTAATTACCCCTTTTAATTAATAGAGCAAGTAGATGGAAAATTAATAACATAAAAACCTGAACAGCAAACTGACCTAATAGATGTTTATGGACAATTTCAGCAAAGACTGAAGAGGTCACATTCTTTTTCAGGTGGATATGAAACAGTCACTACTAGAATAAACCATATAAGTCTGAACCAATTAAAAAAGACAATTAGTACAGAATATGTTCTCTAATCAGAACAAAATTAGAGCTTAGTTGCAGAAAAAATACCTGATCATCACCCCCTTGGTATAACAAACTTCTAAAATAACCCGGGGGTCAAAGAAGAAATAAAAGGAATTGGAAATATTTTTAATTCAATGAACATAAATGTCAAAATGTTAAAATCTGTGGGAGACAGCAACGCATATAGAGAATTTTATAGCTTCAGCTATTTATATTAGAAAAGAAGAAAGTATCAAGTAAACCCAAAGTAAGTTGAATGAAGAAAATAATAAAGATAAGCACACAGAAAGGGAATAGCATATAAACCAACAAGGGGAAATCAGTGAACCTGAACCTGAACTTCAAATTTTGAGATCAATAAAATAGATATCTATTGACTACTCAAGAAATAAGAGACAAGATGCAAATTACCAGTGTCAAGAAAGAAAGGGGAAGGCTGGGGATTTAGGTCACTGGTGCTGTCCCCCGTCTCGCTAGCGCAAGGTCCCGAATTTGATCCCTGGAACAAAGAAAAAAAGCGGGGGAGGCATTACAATAGAACCTCCTGACATTAGAAGGATAATAATTGAATTATGAACAACTTTATACAAAAAATTCCATACCTGAGATGAAATGGACTAATTATTTGAAAGACACATTATCAAAACTGAAAACATTTAGAGCCGGGGATTTAGCGAGGTGGTTCCACCGCCTGCCTCACAAGTGCAAGGACCCGAGTGCAGTCCCCAGTACAAAAACAAAAAACAAAAACCACCCTGAAAACGTTTGGAAATGGGATAGACCACAATAGGATCAAAACTGAAATACTTCCAAATCACTTTCATAAATATCTGCACAGTCTGTTTTTCACTCATAAAATTTCTTGCTGCAAAAATAATTAAATTCTACAATTTGGTGTTAAATCTAAGTAGAACTAAGTACATGGGGAGAAATACCTTGCTCATGGATTAGAAGGCTCAAGAATATTAAGACATCTACTTTCCCCAAACCTATACCTTCAATGTAATCCTAATACATCCCAGCAGAATTTCCGCAGAAATTGGCTAGCTGTTTCTAAAAAGAAATTTAGAAACATAATGAAAAAAAGCCAAAAAGAAAAAAAATTTGCTGTTTTGTGAGACAGCATCTTGCTATGCAGTTTAGGCTGGCCTCGAACTCACTGTGTAGCTGAGGCGGTGCTCGACCTCACAGTGATCCTCCTGCCTCAGCATCCCAAATGCTGGGATTATAGGCCTGTGCCACCACACCCGACAAAGCCCAAAAAATGTTTGAAAGAGGACAGCTTTGAATCATTTAAATTCCTGCTTCTGAGACTGCATCCTTTCTGGCTCCACAGCAGCCCCCTTTCTTTTGGGCGCTGTCCCCTGCCCTGCTGCTTCCTGCCGCAGTCTGGTTCTGTCTTGTGATTTGCCGTCTGGACACTGCACATCAGGAGCCACACCTGTGTCCCTGGAGTGACAGCACAGAAGATTTGGTGGTGCTGGCATCAGGAAAAGTACATGGACCAGTGGAACGAGAGAGCTAGAGTACAGAAATGGACTAGGTGTGTACATGTCAACTGATTTTTCGATAGTGGCCCAGAGGTAGACAGGACAGGGCCCAGCTGCAGGAGCTCAGAGGCACAAAGCCCATGATCCAACATTCGTTCTATTTTTATTGAATTGGCACTATCGAAGCAGATCAACGGGGGAAAGAAAACCATGCCAACAAATAGTTTGAATAATTGGGTATCCACAGGAAGAGAAAGGAAACTCCCACCTCCTTACAGTATACACAAAAATGAATTGGATATTGCCAGGCACGTTGATGCGTGCCTGTGATCCCCACACTCTGCGAGGCTGAGGAAGGAAGATTTTAAAAGTCTGGATCATAGACCAATTTGTAAATGGTAAACTACAAAACTTCAAGAAAAGAACACGAGAAACCTTTGCAAGCTTGTTGCAAAAAAAGATGTCGTGGGTATGAGTTAAAAAATGAGCAACAGTGTTGAAGGAGAAAGACAAATTACATGGAGCTCCTCTGTGGTCCCAGGGGTTTGTGGGGCTGAGGCCCAAGAGTGCAAGGCCATCCTGGGCAGCACAGGGGGAGTTTGACCTGCAAGAAACATACAGAGCAAACCAACAGCATGGATGGATTCATTACAATTAAGAATTGTTCTTAAGCACCAGGTATTTCTGCCACCTGCCTTGCAAGTGCAAGGACCCAAGTAAGTTCGATCCCCGGTACCAAGAAAATAAAAAAAATTCTTAAGGGACAAGGAAGAAAAAAGGCAAATAAGGGACTAGAAAATACATGGACTCATGTACCTGGCCAAAATTTGCATCTGAAACATGTGAAAGAGAAAATGTTACAACTGAGTAAGAGGACAAACCACGCTGTTCTTTCATGCATATTTCACAAAAGAAGGTAGGAGCTGAGGACAGTGAGTACATAGGAGGGACCAGCAATGCCTGCAGTGAGCAAATGCAAAGATACACAGCGGCGAGGCTAGGGACTTCTAGCTTAGAAACTGTCTGCCCGACGGTGGAGCCTTCGGGTCCTCAGGCAAAGGTGAGAACTATTCCATCCTCTTGGAAAACAGCTGGGACATTTTAAAATAAGCACACTTAATGATGTGACTTAATTCCACTCCTAGGCACCTGCACAGGACAAGTAAAACCCCATTTCCTCACATTGTACTGAGTGTCCGAGGACCTTTATTCATCACAACCAAACCAGAGGTGGCAGACACCTGGCAGGGAGGGCAGGGTGACATGTGGGACACACAGACAAGGGAAGGGGATTGGGGTGCATGGCATGAACTTCTCTCTCTCCATCCGGGTCTCATGGCCATGTCCCTGAGTGCCCAAGAGGATATCTCTATCTGGCCTGAAACATGCTCGCTCCTTGCCCTTACCGGCTGTGTCCACGTAGACCAGGTGTCCCAGACACATGTGCAGGCAGGTGTCACTGCCTGTGGGCAGGGAAGAGCATGGGCTGTGGCACCCTGTTCCCTGCTGCTTTCCAGGGAGCCTAGGTAAGCCCAAAGGCTCTAGAGCCCCATTGCCACAGTGCCCAGCTGGGATGTGGCCACAGTCAGTCTCAGCCAAGCCTGGCATCATGCAATTTGCCCACAGGAGGCCTCACAGGAGAGTTTGAGAGCCCCAACCTATGAGTGCGACTAGGGCTGCAGCTTAACACCCCATCGATTTTCTGGTTCCCGACCTGTGGCCCAGACCATGCTTTTTAGCCAGGCCACGGGGCAGGGGTGTGGGCCCTGTGTGGCCGATCTGTGTCCTCAGGACCCACCCACACCCCACCTGCTTGTCTGCACTGTGGCACTGTCCCTACTGCTGCACAGCCCAGAGTGGATGTCAGTTCTCGGTGGTCTTTTGGGTGGGAAGGGGATGCCTCCTAGAGATTCCATGAGTCTTCTGCCCTGGCACCTCCCACCGTGACCAAAGGTCCCAGGGCCCTGCAGGGGAAGAATGGCCTGGTCCCCACTGCAGATCAGGTAGCTTTTCCCATCACCTGGCCAGTGGCAAGTCAGACCCTCATCCAGCTGTCCTCAGAGGCTCCAGGTGGAGAGAACAGGCCCAGCACTTCAGTTTGGACTTGGAGACTGGCGTAGGACACAGCTTCCCATTAGCATCTCACCTTCTGGCTGTGCATGTGAGGAAGCCCAGGCTGCCTGTCCAGGCCTTGTGAACACCACACTCGGCCCCACTGTACCCTGGCCTTGCCATTATGGGAAACCTCAGTTTCCCTAGGACCTCATTGTCACCGCCCTCTAGGAGCCAAACTTGTGCCCTGTCACTGACGCCCCGTTCTGCAGATGATGCCAGCCACCTTCCTGTGGTGCTGGTCCCCGCCCACTCTGTTGCTCATATCTTTGGGGCTGTGTGCCCAGGGCCACTACACTCCTGGCTGTCCCCACTCGCCCATCCCTGTGGGCCTACAAGATCTTGAGGAGTGTCCCTGCACACATGGAGTCCCCTCGTTCCACCTATACCTGTCAGATCCTTCACAGCTCTGTTTTCCATGCAGAACAGCTCAGGAAAACCTCCAGGTCTTGACCTCAGAGGGACTGTCCCCACGTCAGACCCCAAGGGGCCAAGGACTGCAACCTGGGGCCCAGCTGGGGACGCGCATGCTGGCTTCTCTGCTGGGAGCTCCCATGGCCCCACTGCCCAGCCTAAGCACCCTCCCCAGATGTGGGGTGGCACAGTGCCTGCATGGAGCCCCGAGCTAGCCTAGGCCCAGGCTGGCCACACAGAATACTCAAGGATCTCCACTACTTTATAGTTGGTGTCATTATGGTTCAAAACCCATGATCCAACATTTATTCCACTTTTTATTGAATTGGCACTACAAACTTTGGAAGAATATGCCCCAGGGTCAGACAGGACCAGCTTGCAGTGGCGTCAGGATCCTCTGGTGGAAAGAGGATCTCACAGTGCTTGGCTGGAAAAGAATACTCTGGGGGACAGTGCCTGTTGAGACCACAGAGGCCTGGGATAACTGGGTTCAGAGGCACAGGCCCAAGTCGCTCCCTCGAGTGAGGAGGGGCGAGCCCTCAGCCTGAGCAGAGGGCCTGAAGCACCATCCCAGTAGCAGCCTCACGGGCCAACTCCCAGTACAGCCACAGCTGTGCCTCTGCCCCAGCCCCTTGGGTACCCATAGCCCCTCCGCGGCCCCCATGGCTCGCATGTGCTGGACTCAGCAGCACCCAGTGCACCCCAAGGTGCATCCTCTCTGGCTCCATACCAGCCCCTTTCTCCCGGGCACTGTCCCCAGCTATGCCCCTTCGCCCTGGTTTGGTTCTGTCCTGCGATTTGCCTTCTGGACACTGCACATGAGGAGTCACACCTGTGTCCCTGGAGTGACAGCCCTTTCTTCCTCACCTGGATGGAGCCACTCCTGCTGTGCGTGGACTGCAAGCTCTCCTTGTCTGAGGGTGGCACGGGGTCCCTTCTGGGGTCCCGTGCCTTGCGCTGCTGTGACCTTCGGGCCCCAAAGTGGGTGACGTGTCCATGCTCCCCATTCTTCCCCAGCACCAGCCGAGGCCATTCTGGTGGGGGGAGCCTGTGGACCTGGGACGACCTCCCAGGGTATGTGAACCAGGCCTTGCAGACCCAGGTGGAGCGCAGGCAGGGAACTGGCAAATCCACCCTTTCTGCTAATGGCTGAGGCTCTTGGAGCCCAAAGTGGCCATTGTGCAGCTCCTGGCTCCTTCATGGTGGTGGCTGGGCTCAGCTGGACCCTGGCTGGTGAGTCATTCACTGTTGGGAAATGGGCTGTGGAAGACAGGGCTGCTGTGTCCTTGCCTTGTGCAGGATGTGAGGCAGACTCTTCAGAGAGGCCCCGGGGACTCAGGGAACCTTGCAGTTCAGATCAGAGGATGCCAGGCTGTCGTCCGCATGTGCCTCTCCCATGAGCCCCCAGCTATCTCCTGTGCCTCTGAGCTCCTTGCAGCTGGGCTCTGTCCTGTCTACCTTGCTGTATCTCCTGGCACTTGCTGGCCCAGTAGCCTGTGGGGACTGGGCCACAGCTTGGCACCTCAGCCCCTGCCTGCTACAGCCCCACAGCAGGGTGACCCCACCCCAAGCTGAGGCTCGGCTCTCCCGGAAACACCTGTCATGCCAGGTACCCCTCTCTGTGTTCAGAGGCCTCTTGGGCTGTCCTGGGATTCTGGGCCAGGGGATGGGAGACAGCTGGCCTTTGATGGTATAAGTTAGGCAGGACAATGTTGGGAGCAGCTAGCTTGCCCTGACTGGTGACCAGCAGCTAGAGCTCCAGACCCGGGGCCTGGTCTGGGCAGGTTTTCCCATCTCCCATACTGGGCAGCCCTGGGAGTCATGCAAAGGTGGGCCTGCAGCCTGCTCGGCTCACACCTGCTCAGTCCTAGCCAAGGGGCCTGCAGGACAAAGAGGGAGCACAGACTCCCCAAGGCCCAGTGTGTGTAATGTGGCTGATGTCCAAGTGAGCCTGGCCTCTTTGACCTCTGGGCTCCATCCTGAGGTTCCCAGGAGGCTGAGAGCCGGGGCTGGGGCCAGGCAGGTCACCCATGTCCATGGACAACATGGGCAAGCATAAGGCTGGGTACTCTGAAGACCAGAAGAATGGGCCAGCACTCACATGGGAGGAAGTGAGGCCTAGAACGTGGCCCTGCTTAGTGATGTCCACCACGGGGCCTGCATCCCCTCCTCCCAGTGCTCCAGATGTCCCTCCTCTATCCCCCTCCCAAGTGCCACTACTACAAAGGGGAGTGCTTGCTAAACAGTCATGAAAGCTCACATGATTTGTGGGGCCAGGACTTAGTTCAGTGGTTCCACTGCCTGCCTCACAAACACAAAACAGCGCGTCCAGGGCTCATGGCCAGTGCTGACTGTCCAGGTCGTGGTGAGTGGAAGCGGGTCACTTACATCACAGGGATCTTCACCACCTCCACCTGAAAATCCAAACCTGGTGTTCGTGGTTTGGGGCTTGATTGGCTGAATCCACAACCCCACAACCCCGTGCCTGCCCGGTACAGACAGGGAACACATCCGGGCTCTGTTCTTGTCTGTGTGGTTGCTAGCATGGGTTTCAGCCTGTCTTCTCCCTTCCTGATTGTTTTTTTTTTTTTTTTTTTTTTTTTTTTTTTTTTTTTTTTTTTTTTTTTTTTTTTTTTTTTTTTTTTTGCAGCCATTGTGGCATTAGAAATCCTTTCCCACCAGGCTGGCCCCTGGGGGTCCGTGTCTTGGCCACCCACCAAGTGGAGAGGGAGTAGACATGGCCTGGGGCCTCAGCACCTGTACTCTGGGCTCTCTGGGCCTGGGCGGGCCTGACAGATGCCATCTGTGTGCCTGTCCAGCTGGCCTGGGTCTCAGCTGACCCTAGCTCATGGGCTTAACACCCCAGAGCAGGTGAGCCCTGTCTGACCCCAGCCCAGGGACACCAGTCTTGGGCACTCACGGCCCTCCCTACCCCCAGGGAGCAGACAATGTGCACCCTCTGGAGCCAGGGCCAGGTGCCGAGCCCGGAGCCCAGCCCCAACCCAGGATGGTGGGCAGTGGGTGAAAGTGACCGGATCTCATCCCTGCTGACCCCTTCTCTGCCTGGAGCCAGAACCAAGATACCCCTTCCCCTGATGGACTGCTCATACACTCTGGCGCAGAAGGGCCCCACACCTATTCCCAGCTGACCCTACTCTGGTTGGACCCCCCAAAGCTCACCCCCATTAGTCAATGCGTCCTGGGGGACATGTCCAACCCTTCCCATGCCTGGTAAAATCTCCCTCCCATTCTCCAAACTTCACTGGGATCGGCTGATTAAGCCCTGGCTGGGGAAAGACAAGAGTTTGCTGTGTGAATGCAGGAATGGGTGGTGAGCCAGGGGTAGCCAGGGCTGGATCCCTCTGCTGTGGGATGGAGGTGGGGGGCAGGCTGTGCAGGATGCTGGGGAACGTGGGGTTCTCCATTTGCAGAGACCATGCTGGTGCTGGGACGGAGGCCTGCCTGGCTAGGCTCTGGGGTGCAGTGATTTGGGGACAGGGCCTTGGTGGAGGCCACCACTCCCCATTGGGAGAACATGCTCAGGAGTATGAGACTCAGGCTGTAGAGCCCAGAGCCCCAGCACAAGGCCACCACAGGTGGAGCACAAGACACCTGTGGGCTGAGAGGTGAGACTTTGTTCCCTGTGGTACTGTGAGTGGACAGGCCACAGAACAGGCCGTAGCAACAGGAGGCCCACAGAACCCTGTGGCTGTGAGGTGTCCACTCTACCGGAGCCCAGCTCTGAGGACGAGGACAACCTTCCATCCTGCTTCTCAAGTGGCTACCTCTCAAAAAATGATTAAAATCTAGCAGAAAATGGTGGCACCCATGGGTGCTGGGTGCTGTCTCATGGAGTTTGTGTTTGTAGATTCCAGGTGCCACCTTGGGGCACATCAGTCCTGTGACAGGTACAGCAGGCCCCCACCAGGGTCAGAAGACTCCAGGAAGCCCTCAAAGCTCCCCCACGACCTTCCACACAACCTGCTCACTGGCCATCGGCTCCTTGTCCCGTCTCCGTTCATTCCCCGCGTCCCAACCATCACCCTGGAACCATCACCCTGGAGGAACCCGGAAACTTGCAGCCACCTCAGCCCTTCCAGAAGTGTCCTCGTCATGGCTGAGTTGGGGCTGAATCCCAGTCGAGCCCAGGCCTGAGCAAGCGAGCTGAGAAGGGCTGCTGCCTGTGTGGGTAAATGAAAAGGAGTAAGGAGAGGGAGACACAGAGAGAGAGAGAGAGAGAGAGAGACAGAGACAGAGACAGAGACAGAGACAGAGAGACAGAGAGAGGAGGTGGAGGCAGAGAGAGACCAGAGATGGGACAGTCTGAGGCTGATGTGGACCTCTGTTCTCCGGGCAGTGCCTGTCCCTGGCCACATGGCTGGTTCTGCATCAGCACAGGGTCCCCTGGACCTGGCTCTGAGTCAGTGCGGGGTCCCCCTGGCTTGGCTGTGGAGGGTGGAACTGGTCTTGGGGTCCAGCTCAGAAGCCCTGGCCCTGAATGTTCCCATCCTAAGGAACTTGAGCTTTCCTGGCATCACTGGAATGAGCAAACTGCCCCAGGCACAGGGAGGTGATGGTCCGGGTCCATGTAGGGCCACCCTCGGGCCTTGGCACTGTCTGGGTCCAGCCAGCACTAGGTCCACCCACCCCGGGGGGGTCTACCTGGGGGCTGGCAGGCTGAGGGGCAGGCTGGGCAGTGTGCGAGCAGGTGACCTATAAGGTTCCTCCAGAGGTTTAGGCTGCCAGCCTGGTGCCACTGGAGCCCCTGCAGCTTCAGGGCACCCTCCTTGAGCAGGAAGTGGGCAGTGATGGGGCCTGGGTCTCCTGGGATGGCCCAGCACCTCCCCTCGGCCTCTCTCCTGCCGGAGTCACCTCTGTGGGGGGGCCCCTGCTTGTCACGGAGGAGGGGCCCCAGGGACAGATGATTGGGCTTCTAGATTGGGTAAGGCCAGGTGACTCAGCCAGGCGGTTTGGTGTCCCCTGCAGTGTCCACCGTGGTCAGGAGCCTCCCTTGGCCGTAGCCCAGCACTTCCAGCGTCCCCGCACTACCCCAACATGTCCTGTGGGACCTGGGTGAGTGGGTGGGTGGCCTCGAGCAGACCTTGCTATGACTGTGCCCTGCGGTGCAGCTGCAGGAAAACCAGGCCGGGAAAGGGGCCGGCAGGCGTCCGCAGTGACCTTCAGGCGTCCCTGCCCCGCGTTCCGCACTGGGCGCGGGGGCTCAGCCTGCGACCCCAAGCTAGGCCCCGCG